CTCCAGCATATCATGCAGGAAGGACAAATTGTATGTTGAAGGTTTTGTGGTTGTGTTTATGTCCTTGCCCCACCACTGGAAGCCTTGCCTGGTTACAGAAGATGGTTCAGGCACCATATCCTCCTTTACTAGGAGTCCTAAATATGGTCACCCTCTTAGATTCTAGAGAGTTTCCATTACACTAAGTTTCTACATTGCTCCAGAAATGGCCCCCAATTCTAGTCATCTCTCCCAGTATTCTCTCCCTCCATCCCTAGCCTTGGTTGATCCCTTCTGTTCCCATCCTCAATTACCCCAAATCCACCCACAAAATCTATTTTATTTTGCCTTCCAAAGGAGATCCATGCATCCCATCATTGAGTTCTGCTCATTACTTAGCCTCTCTGGATCTGTGAGTTGTAGAACAATCTCATATTTCTTTGCTCACTCATCTTGTCTTTCCTCTTGGATCCCGTTTGTGAAGGTAGCCTTTTAGTGTGCAGAGGATTAAAGTGAGGACATGTCATATTCTGCTTGCCTATAATTCATCCCATGCCAACCTCATTCTCCACCCCAGGAGATGTGAATACCCCAGGGGATCATCTGAGGCAATGACAAAGATCAATTATTTCTATATAAATTAACAATTTCCCTTTTCTCTGATTTAAAGGGGCAATGTGGCACAACATGGCCAGTGTTCTTTAACAAGATGGTAAAGTTTGCATGATATGTATTTTACCACAATTATGCAAAGCATATCTGAACCATCCTCCAGTTTGCTCTGGCTGGATTTCCTTCAGAGAAAAAGTCACAGGACACAGCTTTGACTGTAGCCCCATCTTCCCTACATACCCAGTTGATAGGATACTAAATCATGTGTTGTCTTGTTTTGAAGCTTAGCATGGAAGAAAAATGTATTTACCTTGATTACATTGTTTTACCAGGTAGACTGCAAGTTAAGTAACAGAGGTGACATACTATCCAAAGTCTACCACAGCCATTTTTGGTGAGCAGTTCAAGTTCACCTAGGCTGGCTGCTGATTCATCCAATCTGTTCACCGTTGTTAGGCCTCAGTCATGTTCCCTTACCTACACAGAGCATTCTAGACTATTTTTCCTTTTACCTATCTCATAAGATCCATATATCCCAGGGAAGGTGCCAGTTACTTGAGACCTTCACATAGAGTCTAGTGAGATCCTGAAATTTTGGGAAAAGGCAAGGAGAAATGCAGCAGCTAAAGGGGTTTAATTTATGCTTTCATTTTCCTTCCTTGCCAAAGTAATCTTGGCAAATCAACAGGGCAATTGGGGGAGAAATATAGAAGCCCCTGAATCCTGCCCTTTTCACCCCTTATGTTCTAGAACTTCCTGTGTGATTGGCACAGCCTTGAACATGTGGTATTATAGTCACTTTAAATGAGAATTCTAGGCCTTCAGGCAAAGGGGAGTAGAGAGAGTGATGAGACAGTTGTGCATGGTTTCCTACTAAGCAGAGATTTTGAGAATGACAAACATGAACAAAGAACTGTGATAGTTGCTATTTGAGTAAGGTGTTGTCAATGTTCTTTGGATAATCTGAGTAGATTCTATGGAGTGGGTAATTTTCTTTTCCCTTTATCTCGTCTGTTTAATTTCACAAAGAAGAAAAAAGAAATCATGAAGTGAACACTTACACATCTGTAGCTACTGTATTTCTCCTAACTATTCCCCATTCCTGACCTTATTCCATCCTCAAATTTGCCAAAGCTATAGGAACCTGAGCCCAGAGAAGTTAAGCAGCTCTCTCTGATAAAGAATACTGGGTAATTGGCAAAGCCATGGCTAGACTCCAGTTTTTGGGATTCCAGGTCCTCTGCCTCTCTCCAAGACATCATAGTACATTTGCTTTAACCACCAGGAAATATTGTTTGGAAAGCAGCCCAAGCCCATTCTTCTTTGTGGATTCAAATTATGTGCAGATCATGGGTTTGTAAAAGCAACAGCAAATCGAAAAGAAGATGGTAACTAGAAACAAATGAAAGCCTCCATTTATATCCCTCTTAAAAAAAAAAAAAACTAAAATGTATTACACAAAAGTTATGCTTATAATGGGGGAAAAAGCTTTTGTTCATTTCTTTGCTTGTCATGAGCACTCTGGTATATTGTGTCTCAAAATATTGCCTAGGACTCTTCTATTGAAAGTTTCACGTTACAGGATTCCACATGGCTCTTCTGCTTTCTTATTATTACAGAGAAAATATCTGAACCTGAGTGGAAAGATGATCTATGTGATTAGGTGAGGTGAAAATTGGTCACTTTAAGAAAATTAAAGGTTTACTACCTTTGAAATCAGTTAAGGGCAAGTCTAAGTCTTCTAGACCTAAAGAGTAATCTCATGCTACTTCAGGCTATGTTATCAAGACTGAGGGCTCATGCCATCTAGCTTTTCTCTGCATTTTGTTGACTGTGACATGGTCACTTCAATGTTATGGACACCCCATTGGTTGGTGAGTACCTGGGTGTCCAAACTTCTGAGAACAAACTTTAAACTACGAAAGAATTTGACAAAACCAACTAGACAGTACAGCAGGTCACTTTCCCTCCAGTCAGTTCACTTTTCTGGAAAGGAGCCTTCTGTATAGCTGCTGTTTGTAGTAATTCTTAAAGGGTAACTAAGTCATTGTGAAAGGTTTAAAAAATGTATCTAAAATCAAGATTGACTTGACATGATACTGTTTTCTACTACTAGCATTTTGTGGGTATTGTTTCAACTCTGTCTACCTCATTTCTTTTGTTTTTAGCAGTATATACTCATGAATATTGGTAATGGTTACAAATACACTTCCTAAGTTTCAGTACCTAAAGAATCCTTTACATTTCATTATCAAAACATCTCCTTTTGCCCAGTTATGTGAGCAAAATGAGTGGAACTATTGCAGTTAACACACAGAGCTAGGGACTGCCTCCCATGCTTGTATCTCTACCTTTCCTCCACAGCCTTCTCAGGTCTCCCTATATGGCTGCTGTGGATCTCACAGTATCTTCCCACCATTGTCCTGGACTCCTGCCCAGTTCTCAGCCCCCACCTTCAGGAAAAGGAGGTGACCTTAGGCTTTGAACTGGGACTGGAAAGGAGTCAAATAGGCAGTGCCAGCATAGTTTTAAGGAATGAAGCCTGGGAATGAAAGTAAGTTCATTTAACTTATTAATAGTGCCAGTAAATCACCAGATGATCTGGAAGCACAAGGGCAATGGCTTGAATGAGGTTTCTACATTTTCAATGCATATAACTGATCCATAATGCCTTTCTTGAAGCAAATTGACTGACTTTTCAGAAGTAATTTCATGTATATTTGATGAAGTCCAAACCATCCTCAGAGATTTAAGTATTTCAGGCCTAAGCAAGTTTCTGATAACGTGGAAGGAAAGAGAATGAATCAGTATGTATTTACTTCTACAACCAGGTATAATGGTGCAAGAGGAGGATGAATTCAAAGCCATTCTGGGCTACAGATTAAGTTCCGGGTGCATTCTAACTAAATAACGAAACCCTGTCTTAACCCTCTCATATAAAAACTGAAATGAAAGCACATGCTTCTGACTTCTGAGTTACAATTTTACATTGTGTAAATCTCATCTCACTATGAAAGTAGCTGTAAATATTAGCTTTGATTATAGCTAGTATTTAGGGGGACTCAGAGACCTTTTGAAATTACATTAATTTTAAAGCTTTATGTGTATGCACTATATCTACCTCACCCCTTCCACCAACTCCTTCCATGTCTTGACGGCTTCTCTTTTAAATGCACATTCTGCTAAACCTCAGAAAGAAGGCAGAAAATTCTTAATTAGCATTGTCATATTTAGTGGTGAAGAAATAAGAAAAAAAGGAGAGGTAATAAACTTCTGAAACATTTAAATATCCATTCAGACATAGAAACATCTTCACTCTGTTGCCCAGGAGGCCTTGAACTAATTGGTTAGAGTAATCTTCATGCCTCAACACCCACAGACTCTAGAGAGGTTGTTTTCCTTCCCTCACCCCCACACCTATCATATTTGGCCTATAATAAATATAGATATCACAGCCACCCAAGTCCCAAACATTATTTCCAAATGAAAAATAAATAGTTCCTTGTCTGTTCAGTACTGGGTCTTAAGGCTGGGATCTTTGAGACAAGAGTCTTGAGTTATTGTTTAACAACTTTTATTACCTGCCTGTGACATTCCCCAGGGTTACAGAGCTGGGGATGAATGGCTGAGCCTCATGTTGAATGAAGCACACACTGCAGTAATAACTGAATCAATATAAGAGATGCATTTGGAATCATTAACGCTAAGCAACTAGTAATGATTATCCAACCAGATGTCCAAATTACTAATACTCAGGCCTTTGGGATGACAGTTAGGGAGGGCAGGGAGACAAGAACACCATACCCATGAGACCATAGATCTTCCTTTCCCATTGAACCTTCCCTCGCCTTCAGTCCATTCTACCCCACAATAGCGTCTCCCTAATAGTCTGCTGAAGAGAGAGAAGAAAAAGATGTCTGAGGTCTCTTCGTGTTCTTTGTCTCTGTCCCCAAAGCAACAAAAAGCTGGAGCGGCTGCAGCTGGCCAGGCAGTGATGGCTAACCCCGTTAGCTCTGTAGAGTGAGCAGTCTTTGGCAGCCCCTGGAGCAGCTGCCAGTTAGACGGCCTGGAGTTCTGCTACACTTGGTTGCTTCGATTTAGTGCCAATTGTTGGACGTGCTGGATTCTGTTCCCAGAAGGCTGGAGCATGGTATTGGGGCTGGCTGAATACAAGAGAGCAGAGGCAATTTAATTCAGCTGGATGTGCTGGCTAGGGGTGCAGGCATGGAGGGGAAGGGAGAGAAAAAGTGGTCAGGTGTGAGTAAGGTGGTGCTTCTCTTTCCAGGGCCTTGCCTTGAAGGGTTCTGACCTCTCTTCATCATCTGGGCCTCCGGTAAAGCAGGCTCTGAAAGGGCAGTAAAAGCGTGGGAGCCAGGCCCAGAGATAAGCAAAATGAGATGGGCAGTGGTCTAGACCCTTTCAGCGCCCTGAGCCAGCCCAGGCAGCTCTCCGGGTGCAAGATGGTGGCCACCCTCAGCCAGCAAGCCCTGGCAGTTCTCCGGGTCTGCGGATGCGCAGGTGTCTGGGACCCATTCCTGCTCGGAGACACAGGCCAGGGGTGGCTCCTCTTTGGCCTCAACCAGCTTGCGGGAGTGGGTGTAGGCCAGGATGAGGCCTCCAGCTAGGCAGGCATAGAAGATCATGATGAGTAGGATGTAGAGATAAGCATCGTTGCCCTTGGAGCTGGTCGCCTCGCGGCCCACAAAAGGGTCAGTTACGACCCCCATGCCCATGCTCGGGCCGGGGCCAATGCCCAGGCCGCTGGCGTTGCCCCGATGGTGCAGCTCCAGTAGCAGGCGGTTCAAGAGGGTTTGCAGCCTTTGGCTCTCGCTGCAGTTCATGGCTGTTGGAGAATGACACGGAGGCTCCAGGACGCCTTTGACCTTTCCCCTGGACGAGGGGAAACAAGCAAGCAAGGGAGCAGGCAGAGCAGGCAGGATGCAGAGGCTTTGAAAGCGAGGTGGCACTCAGCTCCCAGGCCGGCGCGCAATGACTGGGGGCACCGGCCGGGGCTTCCTTATCCCCTCACCCCCGCTCCTCCTCCCCTTCCCCACCACGCCCCCTCCAGCCCGGAGCCGCCGCCTCTTTCCAGGCTCAGACTGTCTCGCCACTTAGGGAAAAGGGGACAGCTGGTAGGAGGAGGAGAAGGGGACAGGGGATGGGGAGAGCACAGAGGAGAGGCGGAGGGGGTGGGGGCTCGGAATGCGTGAGGCCCCAAGGAGCAGAGGTTGGCAAGGTTGCATGCTGGGGCCAAGCCTGGACCCTAGGCTGCGGAAGAGAATTCCTTCCAAGTTCTAGCCACCAGCCCTGCAAGCCTGGCTTTGGCCCAGAGACAGCAGCCGCCTGCCTCCTCCAAGGTAGAACCTGCCCTGAAGCACCTAAGCAAGACTTTCTTTGTCTTCCATCAGCTCTAGCTGGACTATGACAGCTGAGACCCCCTTGTTCACATCTATGCCTGTTACTCCCATAGTCAAGGCCTGTTACTTTCTAGTCCTCACACTTTTTCTCACACTTTACCACTTGTGGTCTGAAGAGACTATCTTATTTAGAAAATACCCAGGCCAAATTTGGTGCCTGTGTGATTGATCAGGTACTTACTTTAGAAGGTGAACACAGTGAAAGACTCCGAGGTCACTCAAAATGCTTGCTAATGATACACCAAACTGCTGGGAAGTAGTCTTGCTCTGATATCATACCCTTACAGTGGCCCACTTGTCTTAAGATGTGTGTGCTTTATGCACAGTATGACTTTGCTTCCTTTGGGTAGGCCATCTCCCGAGAAATGAAATCAAATTCTACCATTAGGAGGAGCGGGGCAAACAAAAAGTCTATGACTATACTCTCTAGATGTCTTTGGGTCTGAAAAATGCCATTTCTAGTAAACATACGTATTCTCAGTCAAGTCAACACACAGCTGTGTGACTCTCCAGGGCCTTGGTAATAGCTCTAGTGTCTAATGGTTATGAGCTGCCATGGGGGTGCTGAGATAGGAACTGGGTCCTCTGGAAGAGCAGCCAAGGGCTCTTAACTGTGGAGCCATCTCTCTAGCCTTGCCATGGAGTTTTAAAGAGCTTTGCTCGCACCTTTGCCCCAGCCACGCTTCTGCCCACTCTCCCCTCGTGGGCTATAACCTTACATTTGTTTAGGTGAGGTTGGTATCATTTTATCCTAGCTTCACAACTTGTATCAGGCCTCAGAGACATTTCACATGACTTGGATGGGTGCTCCAGGCTTCTCACATCAGAGGGGCTCAGACCCAGGCACAGTTGTTAAAGTGGTTTGAATGATGAATACCATAGACACCACCAGGTACCTTCCAAAGCAACAACTCTCCCAAGATATATAGATATATAGATATATAGATATAGATATAAAAACTTTTAAACTAAAAGACTCCTCCTCTCTGTTAATACATGCCTTAAAAAAATCTAAGGTTTTAGGCATTACTTAAGGCATGAAGGCTCCTCACGATATGTAAAGAATAATCATTTCACCTTGGAATTTTCAACAGCTTTATGAAATTTGTAAGATTATTTTCATTTTCCAAAAAGGAAACTGATTAAGGACATCAAGTAGCTGTGCTCAAACTTTAAAATTTCACTGAGTGTTGGTGACACAGGTCTTTAATCCCTGAACTTGGGAGGCAGAGTTGGGCGGATCTCTTTGAGTTTGGAGCCAACCTGTCTATGTACTGAATTCCTAGCCAGCCAATTCTGGGTAGTGAGAGCCCAACTTAAAAAAAAAAAAACAAAAAAACAGTAAGATGTGATCTTCTTCTCACTTCTAAGAAATGACTCTTCTCACATGGGTAGGTCTATGAGCTTCATCTATTTACTCACCTCTGCCTCCTTTGTCTAACACTTTCTACCAAACCTCTCTTTTTATATGGCCATCTGCGACTTCCTGATCAAATTCAGGGGTCTCTCCTCAGTTTTCCCCTTTGACCTCAAAGGTAAATTTGTCACTGCAACCACCAATTCCTTCCTGTCACTTTCTTAGCCTTGACACTCCTGGCATTGCACTCTGAAGTTTCTCTTCTTACCTCCCTGACCCATCACTCTCTGTCTTGTCTGTTGGCTCCTCTTCTTCCCTCCTCCAATTAACTGTTGGAATCCCCGAACACTCAGTCCTCAGCTATGTTGTCTTAATACCCATTTCCTTGGAAAGTGTCTCCTTACATAGTTTCACCTGCTACCTGGCAAGTATTTAGTCAAATTTGAATCTCCAGCTCTGATTCTTTCTGCATAGCATCTCTCAGATCATCCGCTTCTTCCTTTCTGGTTTTATTGCCATGAGCTTAATCCATGCTCTCATTACCCAGGTCAAATGTGCAGACTGAGAGTCTCTTGGCAAATCTCCTTGCTTACAACACAACCTTCCCTGCTTTGGCTAAAATAATTCTCCATCATCACTGCAATCAATTAGCTCTATATTCAAAAGCCCAAGTTGCTCCCCATGGCTTCTTTAATGGAACCCAATGTTCTTCGGTGGGCCTTAAGCTTGTGTCAGCAATAGACAGCTTCTCTTCCTTTAAACTGGAAAAACAGCATATTTCTGGGAATTCTTTCTAAATCGTCATACAATTTGCATTTCTCAAAATGAGAAAGGGTGAGGTTCAGTGTCACACATCTGTAATCTCGGCATCTATGATTACTCTAAATTTAAGGACAGCCTGGGTAACATAAAGAGAATGAAATGAATGTTACTGACTGAAGTTCCATATTCTTGTTTGTACTATCCAATTCTTTAAAGTGCATCACTCCTGTGTCCAAATTCAGAAAATGCAGAAATATTTTAAAACACAAAGCATCCCCAAAATCAATTGTACATTTTTCCCACCTTCATTTGTGTATAGCCATGTTTGCATGCACACCACCCTAGTAATCATTAAATGAGAAAGTATATTTTGCATTTCTCTATGTCAGTTTTCTTTTTTCCTACAATATAATTTCATTATCTACAAAACTTTCCAGACAATGGATCTCCTATAATTTATTTAAATAAGTCATTATTGTAATAGTTCTGATATTCCTAGAAGTTTGATATCTATCCTAGGCTTTATAGATTCATGATATCGCATATGTGTAGATGACATGAAAGAAGAAGCAAAACAAATCTAGGGGAACAAATAGAACTAAATGAAAAAGGGAGAGGTAATAAAGGGGAGCAGCCACATATAGGGGCATATGTTCAAAGTACATTATGTACTTGAATGAAAATGTCCACATGTAATTCAGTATAATAATTTTTAAATCCATGAAAGTAGCATTTTACTGAAGATATACAAGGATATGCCTAATTCCATTTAAAAAAAAAAAGCATTACCGAAACAAAAGCAAATTGTTAATGTTCAGTACCATTGGGTGTGGTAGATGTACATAAGAGAATGGAAACAAAAATGTGTAGTCATGAAGTTTAGGTAAGTCAATCCACAGGGGAAAAAAAGCAACATATTGGAGGCAGGAGGGGAGTTCTGGCTTCCTTGATACACCAGGGACTACTACCCTTTAAATCCTAGTCTTAGTTCAGTCCTGAGTAGCTGAGATACCACCCTGTTTCCCTTCTACACTTAATGAAACTGATTCTATCAGACAGGGATTCCTTCTAAATCCTTCCCACCCTTAATGTCCACCTCCTCTGACTCATACCAGTTAAATAATCTATGTATCGATCATCTAAGATTCATTTATTTCTTAAATGGTAATCACAAGTGTTGTCAAAGGGAAGTCATTTATAATCACATATTTGGTTCTGATCCATATCCAGGTTGTCTTAAAAACAGAATTGAGGCACCATGATCTAGGAAATACTTTCCCCATTCCTTGAGACTGTGAATCTTTCTTGCCAACAGAATAGCTCCATTCAAGTTGGTTGAATGAAACGTTGTTGGGTTTGGCTAATTGCCAAAGGACAGGCACAGATGGCAAACACTGCTGGAATCCAGAATACTGGGAAAGCTTCATGAAGTATCTACTGCAGATGGAAAACACATCATTTTGTCTTTCTTTCAAGCATGCATGCACCCAACATTTTTTGCATGTTATTCTGTGACATGCCCTGTGTTGGATCCTAGAGACACATCAGTGAGTGAGTCATATAGATGAACAGTTTGTGGCTCCCATTTACTTCTTTCTGAATTGAAAACCTGCAGATAGTGCCAGGATGAGGAGCTGGATGAGCAGTGGACAAGGAAGCCAGACAGAATTCTGAATTAGAAAGAGCTGTGTCTCTAGATTGAAGCTGTAAGCACTAGAGTACAAAGCCTTGTCTGAAAAAACCAGCAAGCAGTCCCAGCTTGCTGTCTGCTATGTTGCAACTTACCCTACGGGCTCCTAAGAGTACCAATTTAAGGGTCTTGCTACCACAAGCCATCCAGCTGGTGAGCTCCTATATTGGCGGTAGCCATTCTTCACTTACCCATCCCTCCACCAATGTATCCATTATCTGATATCAATACACTACACCCTCAAGCACTTCACCTATATCTCAATATTTACTGATTTCTTTTTTTACCTACCTTTTGAACTAAAATATACATGGATTCAACTATATAAATATTAATTGTACATTTTAAAGAAATTGGCAAATGTTCAAATGTCATTATCATTACTCAAAGTTCTTCCTTGTCCCTTCCTAAGCAATTGCCTCCATCAACCAGAGAGAGGCAAGTACTTGATAGCTGGGCTCCATGATGCCTTTTTATTCATTTTCCTACTGATGCACATCGAGGCTGTTTTTATTTTCTAACTATTAGAGATAACACTACTGTGAGTGGTATTATAGAAATGTTCTTCAGGGTATATGTATCCCTTTTCTTTAGGTAAATACGTAGGGGTAGAAATCTAAGGGGTAGAAAAGATATAGTTTAGTTTTATAAGCAACTGCCAAACTTTTTTTGAAAATAGTTCTATGCTCCCACATTCAATCACGTGTGATCACTTTTGCAGTCCTTTGCTTCATTCCTATTCACAGCCTTGACTTGCATCTATGAAATGGATTTGCCTTCAAATTCTAAGAGAAAGTCTGATTCTTAACTAACTCCTCAAGTTTGATGATTGCTAATTGAACATCCACACAAGCTGCTAATATCTGAGCACCAACCCCATGGAATAATCACTTTTATTAAAAGTGTGTATTAAGCAATTTCCATCAAGAATCTCAGTGAGTCCTACATGAAAACTCTGTACAGTAGGTACAGTTTCATTTCTACTCTATGGGTAAAGAATCTGTAGCCCAATAAGTAAAGAAACCAAGATGTTTAGTAACTTGTTCCACATCACTCAGGTGATCATTCTGAGATTTGAATCAAATCTTCATTATCACAGCTTTATAATTCTTCTATCTATTGTCTGTGTACAAAAGATAGCAAGGGGAAAGTATATTCAAGTAGGAAGTCTCATTTAGTTTTTTTTTTTTTAGTTTACACACAGCTGAGAAAACAAAGGTGGAGATAAGAGAAATGGCTTAGTTAATAGGAAAGCCACCAGAATCAAATATACCATTTTCTAGGTAGTAAGTGTTTCCATTCCATGGTTCAACCTCTTTCCATGCTTTGGGCAATTCTTTATTTTAAAATTTCTAGTTTGTACATGGTGCCAAGATTGTACAAAGCCCTTGGAGGTATTTGAAAGATTTGCATGCATCTAAAAAAGTGAAGGTTAACCTTCCCTTTGGGGCAAATACATAGATCATAAATGAAATTGTTGTATTTGTGCCAGTTCCTGCCTGGACATTATCTGGAAAACATCTCACTTACCCATTGAGTCTTCTCTGAGCAAGGGAAGAAAATGTGCTGATACTTGGAGCATTTAGTAGGACAAGGAACTGGAAGTGGGAGTGTGAGGAGTACTTTTCTCTTGGAGTACCACACCACCATCTGGTGGAAGATTTGAGTTTTCACTTCTCTTCAGAAATTTCTTTAAAAATATTTCTACTCCTCTCCATGCGTGGTCCTCCTTTGGTGCATCAGTTTCTGCAGGAACCCCTGGGCTCAGATCTTTTAGTTTCTCTTTATGGGGTTCCTATCGCCTTCATGTCCCTCTAATCCCACCCCTCTCTTCCTCTTAAGACTCCCTGTGCTCTGCAGGAAGTTTGGCTCTGAGTTTCAGCATCTGCTTCAATCCCCTGTTGGGTGAATCCTTTCAGAGGACACTCTGTAGTAGACTCCCATCCTGTTCCTTCTCTTCCACATGCATGGAGAGGACCTAGCCTCCCTGCTCAGATGTGGCCTATTTGCAACTCAGTCTTCATGTGGATCTCTGAGTGAAGGGAGCAGGGGAAGCCTCTATCATGAACTCAGTTGACTGATCTCTGATCCTTCATCCCTGATAATGCAGCCTTGCTAGGCCATGGAGGAGGAGGATTCTGCCCACAGGAGGAGGGCAGATGGCAATAGTGAAGAACTCCCCCTTTCAGCAGACTAGGGGAAGGGGATGAGGGGAAAAGGGAGGGTAGAATGGAGGGAGTTGAGGGAGGGGGCTTCAATATGGATATATAGTAAATAAATTGTGAAGAAAAAAATTAAAAAATTACGTACCTAAAAATATATATTTTTAGTCATTGGGGTCCCGAGGGAGGACCCAATGATGTGTTTCTTGCTGTGGTGGAACTAAAATTCCAGAGGGTGAAAGGTTTGGCAGATGCCAGACAAACCATTGTAACAGAGAGGCACTAAAAGCACTGGTAGAGGTTGGTAAAAAAAAAAAAAAAGCACAGTGCTTAAGACTAACAAATCTAGGCATTTGGTAGAGGTGTAGGTCAGCATTGCAGAGGCAGAACCAGGTGGATCTGAGTTCAAGGCCAGCTGGTCTACAGAGTGAGTTCCAGGACAACAAGGGTTACACTGAGAAACCCTGTCTCCAAACAAACTACCAAACAGAATCATCATCACCATCATAATCATCACCATCATCATATCTAGTCTCATACAAACCTGTGCCTGAGTTGTATCTTGGCCACATAGTATTACAGGCACAACGGAAATAGCAATTGTGCTTACCATAGGAGTCTGTGGCAAAGGCTGAAAACAAAAATACTTGTACTTGTTGGAGGTACCCTGCTGGTTGAGGCTGCAGTTCTTGCCTGGACCAAATAGCCATTATGAGCTTGGCAATAAAGGCTGAACTCCTCTCAGAGATGTCCCCTGCTCTCTGCCTGACTTCATGTGGAGAGTGTCTTTAGATTATAGATTCCCCTAGCCACACTTGATAGTTGGCCTCTGACAAAGCTCCTGGCTAGCTCTCCCCTCCTTGAGCTTATCTATGTTAATCAAGCACTGACATTCTACTCTTATGATTGGAGCATGCTGTGTAATGCAAATCAAGCATCCTTGAAGTGCCTAGTTTCAACCAATTATGACATCTATTCTTGGAGACCTCTAACTACTCCCCTAAGGGTATATATTCTTTGTTCTCTGGAAGTAAAGTTGAATTAGCCATCAGCTGTTCCCAGGTTATGTGATCCACATACAGTTCTAGCCATTCCAGGCATGCTTCTCTTCTCCAGCCCCTCCTGACTCCATGGGCTGCTTCCAGGCAGGAGGAGAAAATGTACTTAGCACAGATCCTAATAGTAAGCATGCAGCTGTAGCTATTCCATTCTCAACAATAATGTTGTAGTGCTATGGAGCCAGGAGGGAAGTTTTCAATTGACCTGGGAAATCTCAGAGCATACTGCCCCCAAAGGTATCATGCCCCAGATGAGCTTTGAGCTTTGACAGTCTGCTAGTCATTCTGCTCTTTGTGCCTGTGGAATGCTATACTCAACACATGCAAGGAACAAGTATGGCTCACTTCCCTTCACTCCTACATTAGCAGGGAAGGAAGGTATCCATTCTTGTGAGGGTAGCAAGAATCTGAGTGCTTTTGAGCTGGAAAATGACATGGGAACATTTCAGGCCCCAAACCATGAAAGAAACTTTTTCCATGGTGAGTAGACAGGGCTGAGGGAAAATGAAGACCAGTTATGTCAACTGAAATCTATCAGATTTTGACTTTGTTCTTGGACAATAATGCTTCAGTGTGGCTCATGATTATTCCAGCAATATGTTAAATACGTGTGATGGGGCCTGATAAATTTCCATTGCCTCGAACCATGCTCTCCAAACTGCCTGTGACATGGCATGAGCAGACTGATTATAGCTCTATTGTTCACTTTCCCTACAAATCCTTAACATGCCAGGGTAAACAAACTGAACCCATCCTAAGCATAATCCATCCTTATACACTGTGGTCAATACATATGTAACAGTGTATGAGACTAGCATGGTATTGATTTGCCAAGAGCAAATCACTGTGCTTGGGACCACAGACAAAAAACAACCAACCAAAAAAACAACAGACTATGTGTTACCAAGCTAATGACAGGAGTCCATCAGCTGTTTTATCTGCCCATTACATGTGATAATAAAAACTGACCCCCTGAGAAAAGTGGATAAAAATGCAACCTGCCAGAAATTTGGGCCGCCCTGAAGACAAAGTGCATCAATATCTCAGGCACACAGGCAATCTTTTGGAGAGTTCTGGGGTATGATGTCACTCCATGCGGTCCTCCAGGGCTGTTGGGGAGGAATATATATTCCTTGTTAGTAGCAAAATTTGGTGAGATTCACTCTTGCCTCCTTTGCATTAGTTTAATACTGGAGATTTTCAAAGAAGTCTTCTCAGACACTAAACTACAAAGGGGCCTCTGCCGTTCCCAAGAATCGTCAGCTCACAGTTCTGCTTTTAAGACACAAACAATATCTGCTACATGTGATGGCAGCACAAATCATCTTGTTTCCTGCAGCATCCAACAGGACTTGACAGTGCACAGGTGCACTTCCTAAGTGGTGTGTTTTAAAACGAAGCAAATCTAATAGGTTTGGGACTTGATGGGAATTTAATGGCTTCGCTTTCTAAAAGCAGGCCAGTGCTAGGCTGTGCTGTGCTTCTCTTAAAAAATTCAGTTGTATGTGGTGGTGCACACCTATAATCCCAGCACACAAGAGGCTAAGTCAGGATCCTATATTTTTGTTGTTATTTGGGGTTTGTTTGTTTTTCCAAGAGAGGCTTTCTCTGAGTCACAGAACCCTGGCTGTCCTTGTACTGAACTCAATTTGTAGACCAAGCTGGCCTCAGAGATCCCCTTATCTCTGCCTCCCTCTGCTGGTATTAAAAGTATGCACCACCACCACACCTGGCCCAGAAGTCTAAGTCTGAGGCCAAGCTGGGATCACAGCAATTCTCCTGCCAAAGGGGGGGGGGGGGCAAGACAGACCCTATTTGCCACCCTTAGCACCAAATAGTGACTTTTAGAGTCTATATTTGAGTAGAACTCTTGTCTTGAATACAAAAGGCATGAAGAAAAAGGGAGAGAGGGATGTTCAAAGGGAAAGGGGGGAGAGAAACAGAGAGGTGTGGGGGGAGGAGGTTGCCTATAATCACAAAGCTAGGCATAGAATGAGTTCTAACCACTGAAATTCGATACACCCAAACACAGTATTTAAAAGGCGTAGGTAATTTATAGATTTTTATGTTGGCATATAAGAAAGAACAAATTGGCTTGATAACATGGGTGGATTTATTTCTTAAGATTCAAGTGCAAACTTAAAAATAAGAACAAAGCTTTTCAAGAGTAAACACAAAAATCTAAGTAACAATCTGATATCGTGCATTTTAACAGAAAGTACAAATATGAATACAAAATTTGTAACTACATTCAAAATTAAAATATATCTCTCCAGTTCCCAAACTCCATACAATCTTTAACCTGTCCTCAGTTTGTCACTGTAGAAACATTTGTCATATGTTACCAGGAAAATATAGGCAAAGATTACTAATCAGTCTCTATGAACAAAGAAATAGGGCTCTCCCTCACTTGGGATTTTATGAATCATTCATCTGTATTTCATTTCTTAAAGGTCATACAATCATACCTTCAGTCTACATAAAAAAGAGTACAGGTATCAAGGAAACAGACCCTTTTATGTAATTAAAGCAAAAATCATGAGTGTTCAACTTAGAAACACATAAATTTATAATCAATATTAAGCACAGCTTTATTTGATGGCTGACATGTAATAACTGTGAACAATTTAAATAGGTATAAAAATGGAGATTAAAATCTTTAGGCTCAAATACTTAAAAAGTCACTATGAATATGGAAAATATTTTTGTTTACATAAACATATATATTTCAGATGAAAAGTCAGGGGGTGGTGGAATCTCCCTGGTCCCTTAACATGTTTGGATTTTCATGAAGAATTAGCAGCACCCAACCTTAAGTGTTAATTACGTGATTCTTAAGGACCTAGTCAACAGATAAGTTGGCAGTGTTCCAGCTTTCGGGAGATAGGAGTGGGTGGGGTGCAAATATTTGAAATAAGATAGTATGCATGCACTCACATTTTAAAGTCACCATTCCAAATGGGAAACACATATTGGAAAAGCCTAAGAAAACCACCCTGAAAGGATAAACAGTGGGCCAGGAGTAAACAGAAGCTCAATAGTAGTCTACTTGATAATGTCTTCAAAGGCAAGTTGGGAAGCATGAGAATACTCAAATATAATTTCAGGGAAAACTGGCCTCAAATTTTATTTTGCAGAACACTGAGAAGAAACTTTTACAAAAAAAAATTCAACTGTTGCTTATAATACCAGATGATTTTTTTTCTTTATTACCACCATATACATAACATTTAAATAATTTCTTTATAAATATTTTAGAGCACAAAGAACTCATTTTGTTGCAGTGGTGGCCCACATCTGTACAATGCAATGTAAGTAACATATATATATATATATATATATATATATGTGTGTGTGTGTGTGTGTATGTGTGTATAAAATGATTACGAAAAATGCAAAGAATAACAGTATTAAGAATTTTTACAGTAACTATGGTTCAAGTGAGAATATCTATCAAGAATATATAATCCCAGACTTTAACTGAAGATTTAAAAAGAAACCCACACTCCAAGTTACTGCACACACAGTTCTTAATCGAGTAACTCTGCCCTTCTCCCAAATCTAGCATTTCCAGTTTCTAAACTCTTCACAAACAAGAAAAGTGGTAACAGTGTTTTCTTCCCTTTAACTTCCCCAGGCTCATCCAAAACATTTAATCACCCGTTATGTCTGAACAAGATTTTGAGGAAGTCATTTCATTTATCATAACCCGCTTTGCTGAAATTAAAACAAAATGAAAGGCTTTCTAAATAGCATTCTACTGATCAAGTATCAATCAGCAACAGCAACCAGACCATAAACACAAATGTAATTTAATATAAGCACATTTTAAAATCAAGCCCTGTTATCAAAGATAATTTCAGAGTCTAAATCTCTTTCCCAGGTTCTGTGCTATGCAAGGATCCTAATTCTGAGTGTTTATGACTCCATGAGCTTTCGAACAGAAAAGCAATGTATCTTGTTGAATTTTGATTGACTGTTATAATGTTCCTCTTGGTCTCAGTCTTTCACTAGATCACACACAGAAAGGTCATTTTTACAAAGTGGGCTATCCTGTTAAGACATTTAAATAATTACAGTTGCTGATTTTAGTTCTCAGACACCCAAAAAGCAGTTCAGCTTCCCTTTAAATAAATTAATAGATATTTTTGGTGTGTGTGTATATATATAATATATATACACATATATAATTCTTAACTCCAGGCACTGTAATTATTCACAATATTGCAATGATTCTATGTCTAGCCTACATGATGATTATGATCTTCAAATACCTTCTAAGATACTGATTCCATATTACAATATTATTGATTCTTTTTGCCCTTCAAAATAAATGGTTGGAAGAGAATTTTAAAGCCCTGCAGCACTTCGGCTTTGAGTAGTGTTAATCCATAATTTTGTAATGATTACTGTTAAAACTTCTGAACTAAGAAGACAACAGACACTGGAAGTTGTAAATCTCCTCAACTATATCTACTCCAACTCTAATTTATTTTCTTTAGCATGAAGTATCTTTTCTTTATAAAAACAAGTGTATCTATTTCAGTTTCACTAGAACTATGCAAAACTAAGTTAAAGTAGACTCAACTATTTTAACCAGTTTGGGTTGTTTTTGTTTTTAATATATCTTTAGAAGATACACCTTACATTCTAACAGAGATCAACAAAGGTTTAAACTCTAGAACTAAAAAACCATCAGGCCACCTCCTGTGCAAATGTAAATAGGAGAGCTGTATTTTATTTGCCCCCATACATTCGCTCAATATCCTTGAGATAATGGTTCTTCAGTTCTTTCCTTTTCAGTTTGAAGGCATCTGTTACCAAACCAGTTTCAGGGGTCCATGGCTCTGGGCTTAACCGAACCTTGATTGGAATTTCAAATCGCTCCAATTTCACTGAAATAAAAAAAGGAAGAGAAGGATAGGAAAGAGATAAGGAAGAAGTAGAAAGGACAAAAAGAGGGGAAATGAACAGAAAAACAAAGATTAAAACAGATTTTTCAAAACTGATAGCCTATATGATGCAATGAAAGAGAAAAATTATTTATTGGTAAGTTATTAACAGACAGTTATTAACAACATGACTACATTTCTCAAGGTGTGCATAGGCAGTTTTGCTTGCACAGAACCACATACTACATCTTCCCCTTCAGAGTCTTCAAACTGCTGTTCCTCTGCCTGGGATGGTTTTCCATTCAGATAGCTACTAACATCCAGAATTTCTCTAAATACTTGTAACAAAAAAGAAAACAAGTTTGTTTGTTGTTTTTTTTTGTATATAATTAGGGCTTTTGTTTTATTGACTGTAACCCATAGACTAGACCAAGAACCCTCAATAAATACATGCAAATCTAAATCATTCCATTAAAAATGAAGCATTTAGAAAACTATTCCTTGGAAGTTGCTTTATATAGTCAAATGTAAACCAAGATGTTATTTATTTGGTATAATGATAGTGTTTTAATAATGTAAGACACGATACAGTACATGTACACATTGTGTGGGAGTTATGCAACTCAATATATGTTGGGAGAAGTATAAGGAATTAACATAGAAGTAGCTGTGGGTGGCATATACCGCTAATCCTAGCACTCAGGAGGCATAAGCAGGTGGATCTCTGAGTTCCAGGCTAGGCAGGAGAAAAGTTACACAGTGAGATTCTGTCAAAAAATACATCAATAATAAACAGAACAGAGTACTGAATTACATATTTCAACATAAGCTCATTCTTAAAATTCTGAAGGACAGATATGTTATTCTGCATGCAAGCTTGATTTATTTTAATTTTTTATTAATTACACTTTATTCATTTTGTATCCCCCCATAAGCCAAGTGGGTTACATAGTAATGGGAAGAGGGACTGCCTCTGACATAATCTGATTGGCCTGCTCTTTGATCACCTCCCCTTGAGGGGGGAGCAGCCTTACCAGGCCACAGTAGAGGACAATGCAGCCACTTTTGATGAGAACTGATAGACTAAGATCAGAAAGAAGAGGAGAACCTCCCCTATCAGTGGACTTGGGGAGTGGCATGCATGCAGAAAGGGGAGGGAGGGTGGGATCGGCAAGCTTGATTTTTTTAAAAAAGATTTGTTTATTTATTTTATTGTTTATGCAGTCTTCTGCCTGTAAACCAGAAGAGGACACCATATCTCATTATAGATGGTTATGAGCCACCATATGGTCACTGGGAATTGAACTCAGGACCTTTGGAAGAACAGCCAGTGCTCTTAATCTCTGAGCCATCTCTCAAACCCTAAGCTTGATTTTTTTCTTTTTATGGAATGACTTAAAATAACACTTGTGCATATTTCCAAAGCCACTACCTGGCAGCCTTGGTGACATTAGAAACTGCTTTGAGAGAATATGATGCTGAATATGAAAAGTAATCTCTCATATATTACCTAGTACAGTGTTAGCCCAAATAATGCTTAAACAGGAAGCAAAAGAACATAAAACTTGCTTGAATTACCAGTATCTACTCTATTCTCACATTTTGAGTAAGTTACACAAAGGTACCTGAAATATCTGCTCCCTGGCTCACATCTGGATCTCAAGGAAGATCTCAACTACAGATTTGGTTCTAAAAACTTTCATTTCCTTTTACTTTCCCTACTTACTAGGATTACTTTCATATTAAAAACAAAACAATAGATTAAGACAGTTAAATAGCTTTAAACTCAACAAGAGAGTACAAGGTTCATCTCTACTGTTCCTGGGAAATAAGTACCCTAAAATAACATCTTTTCTCAGGAGGCAGAGGTAAGACCATCACTCTAAGTTTCAGGCTATCCTAACTTAATTGGTAAATGCTAGGCTAGTCAGGAATATATAATGAGATACTGTCTCAAATAATATTTTTAAATTAATCTAACTACAGTGAAGTAAATAAAATGAGAAAAAAAGCACTAGATGGGAAGTTCAATTAAGTTTAGAGAAGAAAAACAGAAGTATTACTAATAACTGACTCAGAGAAGACTAAAACTACTGCCAACCAGAAAGGATGCCAAAAAGGATGCTCAATACAAAGCCTAGGGCAGGGAGCCCTGAGCACTGTATGCCTCTGAAGAATGATGACAGTAAAAGCAGTAGGGTTGATACTCATGTCCTTTCTCACCTGCTGCTAACCTTCTAGCACCAGCCTATCAACTAGTTTAATTTTTGGACTCAAGCACATGAGACATAACAGACACTAAGAATAAGGCTGCCAAAAAGGATTCAGTGAGTTTTGCTTATTCCATCTCCCCAAAACACCTTGTTCTTTTTGGCTATCAGAATGATGGCAGTCAACTACCATACAACAGATGAGAGAGGCTTCATTAAAGAAATAGAGTGATCCCAGAGGGGGTAAAGACGAATAAGAGTAACTTTTCAGTGAAGCCTATGAAGCCTATGAAGTGTTTTTAAGTAACTCCTTTAAAAACATGAAAGGGAGGAGCAGTCCTGCTAGGCCACAGAGGAGGACTTTGCAGCCAGTCCTGAAGATACCTGATAAAACAGGGTCGGATGAAAGGGGAGGTGGTCCTCCTCAATCAGTGGACTTGGAAAGAGGGAGGGAGGGTGGAATTGGGAGGGAATATGGGAGTGGGATACAACTGAGATACAGAGTTAATAAAATGTAACTAATAATAAAAAATAAAAATAAATTAAAAAAATATGAATGAACACCCAAGGAACAGTAGAAACTAAGAAACCAGCAGATGTCACTGTTCTAATGGCTATTCATTGCCCAATTCTTGACATTCTGACAACTATTAGGTAAATCCTTTGGAATATATAGAGATCCACAGCCTTCACCAACCATCAGGCCTATTGCAAAGATTTCCTTGCTTTGCTGTAAACCTGCCTGATGCATCCACTTACATATGTGAAAAGTATCTTAATTATGACTTTCTTTGTTCCATTACTACATACAGACCTTCAGAAACATGTTACTTCACTCATTTGAACATATCTGAGGCATCTTAAATCTGTGATCCAGAGCCATAAAAGTTTTCCTCCAGAATAAACAATTCCCTGTTCTCCTTGGGAAAATAAAAAAGACTTCAAACCCAAACTACTGAGAAAAGATAAAGAATGTCACTTTAACAAGGACTATTTCTAACAGGATCTCAAGGGCAGGCTCTTTGATCTCCCCACCGCCCCAGGGGAGGAGCAGTCCTGTTAGGCCACAGAGGAGGACTTTGCAGCCAGCCCTGAAAATACCTGATAAAACAGGGTCAAATGAAAGGGGAGGAGATCCTCCCCTATCAGTGGACTTGGAAAGGGGCAGGGAGGAGAACAGGGAGGGAGTGTGGGGTTGGGGAGGGAATGAGGGAGCGGGATACAGCTGGGACACAGAGTTAACAAAATGTAACTAATAAGAAAAATAAAGTTAAAAAAAAAAGAATGTCACTTTATACTGACTAAGCAAATAACCTAGCAAATGGACATTCCAACTCTAAACATACATGCCAGAAATACACATGGACTCAATTTCATAAAATTCTAGTGGATGCAAAGTGAAATTTACCCTACTCAAGCACAATAGTGATAGGTGCCTTTGACACCTGACTCTCACCAATTGATAGTTCATTCCAACAACAACAAAAAAGGCAGAGAAACATGTGAGTTAAGTAACATCATCAAATGGACTTAATAGATAAGTCCTTTTTACAGATTTTTATAGATAAGTCCTATTTTACAGATAGTTCCTTCCAAGCACTGCAGAATATACATTTTTTTCTCCTCAGAAGTCCATGGAAATGCCAAAATATATTAAGACAAAAAGCAAGTCTTTACAAAAATATCAGGAAGCCAGGCATGGTGGTGCACACTTCTAATCCCAGCACTCTGGGCGGCAGAAGCAGGTGTATCTCTGAGAGTTCAAGGACAACCTGGTTTACAAAGCAAGTCCAGTACAGCCAAGAGAAACACTGTCTTGGCTGTCTACACAGAGAAACACTGACTTGAAAAAAAAAAAGAAAAAGAAAAAAAATAGGGAAATTGAAATAATCCCTTGATCACAACAGAAAAAGACCACAAGTCAACAAAGAGAAACTTCAGAGAGCTCACAGAATCACCGAGATTAAACAATATAGAAAAAAACATAGAAACATATGTTCTACTCAATTAGAAAATCTCAAAGAAATCAGTGAATTTCTCGATATATATATATAATCTAGAAAAAATAATTTAAGATTAGATAAACAATTTAAGCAGATCTACAAACATTGTCATTGAAGCAGCAATTCCTAACTAAAAATGTCCAGGTCCAAATAGATTCATTAATGCTTTTTACTAGACCTTCAATAACTAATGCTAATGCTTCTCAAACTAGTCCATAAAATAGAAAAGCATTGCATTACAAAACACTATGAAGCTACTAATACCCTAATATCAAAATCAACGATGTAACAAAACAGAAATTATAGGCCAACACAATGAACATAAACAAAAACAAATCAAGAAAAGAATTGCCAACAAAATTCAAGAATACAACAAAACATTCACCATGATCAAGTTAGCTTTGTTCCAGAGAGGCAGTGTTATGAATTACATAACTGGACTCAAAGTCAAAAATCACATGATTCTCTTGATAGATGGAAAAAGGCTCTGGGTATGGTGGTGCATACCTTTAATCCCAGAGCTCATGGGGAAGAGGCAGGCAGATCTCTGAGTTTGATGATGGCCAGAGCTACATAGAAAAACTCTGTCTCAAAATCCAAAAACCAAACCTAACCAAACTGCCGGAAGCCAAAGCTATTTATTGGAGCCAAAGTCAAATAGTGAGCCAAAGCTATTTAGTGGAGACAAAGCTATTTACTGCAGCCAAAGCCAAATAGTGAGCAAAGGTCATTTAGTGGAGACCTAAAGCTATTTAGTGAAAGAGTTACCTTACCTAGGACCGTAAATCATGGGTGATAGATTTGTGAGGACATCTGTCTGTTAGTTTTAGAGCATCCATGAGATATCTTAAGGAAACATCCTTACGGAATCTTGCAGGTCCAATATTCAAGCCATGAAAGCACTCTTCCTATCTCCTGAAGCAGTAATTTTGCCTTCCCCCTTTTCCTGCCTTCTCCCTGTATAAGCTGGGTAAAAATTTCTAATAAAAGAGGTCTTGATCAAACAAACAGACTTGGCTTCTTTCCTTGCGTCTGTTTTCCTCCCCCCATTCTCTCCACCCCCCTCTTTAAGAACTTGTTGAACTCCCGAGGGACAGGACACCAAACCAACAACAAACAAAAACAACAACAAAAAAAAAACCCAACATTCCTTAATGTTAAAAGGCCCTGAAGAGGGCTATAGAGATGGCTCAGAGGTTAAGAGCACTGGCTGTTCTTCCAAAAGTCCTGAGTTCAATCCCCAGTAACCATATGGTGGTTCAAATCTATGTATACAGAGGGCCTCTGAAAGGCTCTGAAAGCCCTGCAGACTATCAAAGCAGATGCTGAGACTTATGGCCAACTGTTGGGCAGTGTGCTTGGAATCTTATGTAAGAAGTGGGAAATAGTAAGAGCTGGAGAGGACAGGAACTCCACAAAAAGAGCAACAGAACCAGAAATTTGAACACAGGGGTCTTCCCAGAGACTCATACTCCAAACAAGTACCATGCATGGAGATAACCTAGAACCCCTGCACAGATGTAGCCCATGGCAGTTCAGTGCCCAAGTGGGTTACATAGTAATGGGAAGAGGGACTGCCTCTGACATAATCTGATTGGCCTGCTCTTTGATCACCTCCCCCTGAGGGGGGAGCAGCCTTAGCAGGCCACAGAAGATGACAATGCAGCCACTCCTGATGTGATCTGATAGACTAAGATCAGAAGGAAGGAGAGGAGGACCTCCCCTATCAGTGGACTTTGGGAGGGGCATGTGTGAAGAAAGGGGAGGGAGGGTGGTATCGGGAGGGGAGGAGGAAGGGATTTATGGGAGGATACAAAGTGAATAAAGTGTAATTAATAAAAAAATAAAAAACAAAAACAAAAAAAACTACCTATAATGAGATCTAGTGCCCTCTTCTGGCCTGCAGGCAGTACTATATATATATATATATATATATATATATATATATATATATATATATATATATATATATATATATATATATTTAGGAAGGAAGGGTTGGCTCACAGTTCTAGAAGATACATGCCATTATGATGTGAAGAATATGGTGCCAGCAGGAGGAGGTAGCTGTACACATTGCATCACCATAGAAGAAGCAGAGAAAGATGAACGCTTGGTTTTTCTTTTTTATTCAGTCTGGAACCTCAGACCACTCACATTAATCTCTATTCCAGTTAATCTAATCTATACAATCGCTTACAGACAGGTCCAGAAATTTTTTTTCCAAGATTATTCCTAATCCTCTCAGGTTGACAATTAAAACTAACCATCATAGTGAAGGAGGGGTTATTTATAGAAACATGAATGACTACTGGGCATCTGCATCTCTGAAAAGTCCCATACCAGTAGTACAGACCAATACAGAGGTCCAGTGGGCACTATTAAAGTTTCAGTGAAGACACTCACAGGCAATAATAAATCTTAAAAAAAAGGCCCTGAAGAAACTCAGAATAGAGAGAAGATACCTCAGTATAATAAAGGAATGATTCAATACTGAACTGACAGGCAAGATGGTGCCCACTAGAGCAATAGGGCCATAGGTGTAGAGTAACCAACTGCCATCTAATTGGATTTGAAGACAGCTCATTAGAAAGAATTCATTTCCAGCATTGTAAATCTGGTCAAAAACCTACACCTGGGCATGTCATTGGCTCTAGGGGTAACCTACTGTTGTTTTGCTAAACAGGACTGTAGAACAACTGCCTTACAAATATTTACGCTTCCATCCATAGGCCTGGACTACTCTCAACCTTGCTCAAAGAAGTTTGTTTTTGTAATAGGCAGCAATACATGCACAAACTCAAAACTGGTCAAGGAACTGAGAAATGACTGAGAATTCAGCCATAAATAGGATGACTGACTCAAAACCCCAACCTCCCTGCCCAAGGCTCAAGGAACACTGTGGAAGAAAAGGTAGGAAGAATGTAAAAGATGGAGGATGTGGTGAGTATGGCCATGAAATGCTGTTTTTCGTGTAAGAAATAGCCATTGAACAAATGAATTCACAGCAGCTGCAGTTATACCTGCAAAGGCCTATACAAAATCAAGCCAGTCAAAACTTCAAAATGGATGGCAGAGTCTCACAAGGCCCCATCCTTAGCTGAGGAGTTATTGGCAGTTTGTACCTCTTCCTTGGGGTACACTGGTAGATTGCCCATGCTTCAGTGGATGACCTCACACTCAGTTACATGTGGGCAGCACTAACTGGACTTAGTGAGTTATTAAAAGAAAGAGAAGACATGAAGTTGGGAGGGAGAGCCGTTGTTGGAGATGGCTTGAGAGGAATTGGAAGGGATAGATATGGTTAAAATTCATTGTATATATAAACAAAATTCTCAAAGAACAGAAAAGTATATATTTTTCAACTGCTAAGTTGATTTTATATCCATACACATATATGCATAACACTGGAGTTGAGATTTTTAGAAAAAAAAAAAAAAAAGATATGAAGAGTTTTTACGAAGGCCTTACAGGGAGATAATAAGGAGTGGATATAACCAAGACCAATATACACTGTATATATGTATGAATTTTTTGTGTGATGTACAAAATATTTATTATATGACTTCCATAGGCTTCAAAAGCTTAGCAATTTCTTACTTACTGGCATTTGCAGCTTCTCGAATTTCTTTTAATATTTCAGCTTCCATGGCAGGATTATTGCAAATGTCAACCCAAGATCCTTCTATCCCCTTCTGTTGTGCCAGAAGGGTCAACTTTTTCTGATTGGGAACCACAAAACTGATCACATAGGACTGATCACTGAAAAATAACAGATATTAAAAATAGAAATAAAAATGAGCATAATTATTCAGAAGTTATTCAGTTTAACAGTATATTGGAGATATCTCTAAAATATGTATCATATGATATTAATAAAAAGGGAATTCGCTTAATCATGCAGGCTTCTGACTTAATAAAACTTAGACTGAAACTTGGACCCCACCATGTACTAACTATGTGAACTTCTGGAAAATTATTCATGCTAAGTCTCATGTTATGGATCCTACAGGAATGAACTTGAAGCATAGGTTAAGTTAGACAGACACTTAGCAAGGCATGGTAGATGTCTAATAAAGAACTGCAATAATGAGTTATACTGTTAAATAAATTCAAGAACTTTTCATGTTTATTTTCTTATCTGCAATCAAAGTTCTATTAGAAGATTGATGGTATCTGCATGCTTACACGTAATCAAATTTATTTTATAATGTTCTTTTTTTTACTGTAAGTACATGAAACACAAAACACAACTACTCCTTGGTTGGCAAGTGACCAAGCCTGATGACCCAAGTTTGATCTCGAGAACCCAAATGGTGATAGGAAAGAACTCCCAGAAATAGTCCCACATGAGCTCCTCCTAACAAACACTAGATAGAGAGACAGACAGACAGATAGATAGAAAGACAGACAGATAGATGGAGTTACCTTTTGGCAAAAGCACAGATGTTGTCAATCAGTGGACAATTCTTCAATGCGGCTTCAACTTTCCCAAGAGATACATATTCTCCCGCTTGTAATTTCACCAGATCTTTTTTCCGATCTATAATGATAAAAATATAGATTCTCAAGTTAAACTGGATACTGGCTGTTGTTTCTTGGAAACCTGCTCTTTTCTGAAGGGAGATGAAAGAGAGAGAATGGATCAGGGGAGAAAGGAGATGGGGGGCAACTGGGGGAGTGGAAACTGTGGTCATAATGTATTGTATGAAAGAAGATTTTATTTTCAATAAAGAATGCAGATCCACAGTTTGTTTCATTATGACATGCACAATTCTGATTTTAATTTTATTGCCTTAGTCTTTATTTACAAAGATAATTTCCTCTAAAATCTTGTTTTATATATATTATTTTCCCATACATATTGCTAAAAAAAAAATGAATCAAGTGTTATAAAAGATCTATCATTCAGGTTTCCATGGCAAGAGCATCATAAGATCCAGGCCAGTGTGGCCTCATAATGGGTTCAAGTTCAGTCTGAAGTACATAGCAAGAGTCTATCTCAAAGCAGATTTCTCTAATGGAGTGTCACTGGGTATATCAACCACATACCAGGGCAGGCCACGGTCCTAAAAGCAGTCAGATACACACACACACACACACACACACACACACACACACACACACACACCACAAAAATCAAAAACAAAATCAACCCTCCATGTTATTTTTGTTTCTTCTCTCTCTCTGTCTCTGTGTCCTTTTTTTCCTCCCTCCCCCCCCTTATTGTTTTTTTTATTTGACTTTCATTTTGTCTTTTTTTTAAGAGAGAAAGAGAGTGTAAGTGTGAGGGAGCACAAAGTTGGATAGGTAGAGAAGTGGGTAAGATCTGGGAAAACTTGGGGAGGGGAAAACATGATTAAAATATATTGTATGAAAAAAGACTTAGATAAGAATATAATTAAGTAAGTATTAGCTAGTGGTTATACACTATACTTAAGCTGTAACAACTTACCATGCTCTTGAATGTTACAGTAATCTTAAACTCCTGTTTACAGTGCCACAAAAGGAAGGAACAGAACTCTAGAGCATTACAGTAGAATGGGAGCTTAGTCTGCTCATCACATACAGGCTCTGTGATGCTTGGCACTGCAGTTAACCTCTCTCTACTTCATTTCTATAGGGGACAATGATGCCTACCTCACAAAAATATGTCTTTTGTTATCTTCCATAGAAAGCACACTCAACAAATGCTAATTCCCACTTTCCCTATTTGACAATTTCTTTGTAAAGAGACAATGCTATAAGAAAGTACTGTCATAGTATAGCTCGACTTGAATAACTATTAGCCTGTATAAAATCCTTTGTGTGAATGATGCGTTGCCTAGCAATAGCAATAGTAAGGAGACCAAGGAGTAGGAGGATGAGAGTTGAGGGTTGTGATGAAAATATACTATATTCTTGTATGAAAAAAAAAATGGTTTTCTAAAAAAAAGACAATGCCAGGTACTTTTCTACAGAAGACCCTTTCTGACATTCTACGAAATCTAAAGGCCTCCTTTGCCATTTTAAAACTGCAGCACTAGTGTGCACATGCATTGTATGTGCATATATGTTAACAATATTTATATATTTGGAACATAATTGTTTACCTTTTCCAGAATGCACAAATGTAAGGTTTGTGTATGTAATGCACAAATACACGGCATTAGAATAATAAAAATAATCGTCTAATACACGCACACACATACACAGAGGAGGGGATGCAGAGATGATTGGTCTATTAAGTGCCTGGCTGGAAAGCATGATAACCTGAGTTCAGATCTCTAGCACCCACATAAAAGCTGGGCAATGGCATGAATGTTTAAGTCTAGTGCTGGGGTATAGATTGGCAGATTCCTGAAGCTCCATGGCCAGGGAACCCAGACAAACTGATGAGTTCCAGGTTCAGTGAGATACTGTCTCAAAGGCCAGAAAGTGATCAAAAAGACAAATAAATCTTCAACCTCTGTCCTCTAGATTCACCCACACATCTTTGTGCATGCATGTGTATGAACAAGTACAAATACCAAACACACACACACATACATACACACACACACACACACACACACACACACACACACACACACACATTGAAGAGAAGCCAGACATAGTGGCACATGGGTATAACTCCTATTCTTAAAAAGTCTGAAGCATGTGGCTTGTGAGTTCAGCCAGACTACACTACATAGTAAGTATAGAGCTAGTTTTGGCCACCTAATACAACCATGTCTCAAAAACAAGTTGTGCTGACAGAACCAAAAAGGGTTTAGGATGTAGATCCATAATATATTACTCCTCTAGCATACATGAACCCCTAGTTCTGCTCTCCAGTAGACAGGAATAGGAAGAACTATGAATGTGATTATCAAGTTGGGGGGGCAAGTTTATCATTTTTTAAATGAGTCAGCAGATCAGTGTTAAAGATGAAGACAGAACTTTCCAGAAAATCTCTAATTACATTCTTCCCAGATGCTGTGAAGCTCAGTAGCAGATTAAATGAGTCACTAGAAGTATGACTGAGTGAATATAGCACTAGAAAACAGGATAGACACCACAGAGTGGCACTTACAGTGAGTCAGTGTTTAAACCTTTGCCTGTTTAAAGTGAAGAAACTACTTTCTTTGGAGTTACTACTACTTTTGGAGTAGTGTTTTGAATGGAAATGTCAGCAACACACATTTTCAAACGAGTAGGATGGTGCTGAAGATTGATATAACCATTGTCTAACTCTCACAGACAGATAAAGCCATGGATGTATGGTGATTATTAGGCAATAAGGGGGAGGCAAGGCCTAGAATAGTATGTTCGTCACAGGAAATAGTTATAGAGTCCCCATGGAGTTATGCAAACAGATCTTTCCTGAATAATTTTTTGTTTTCTCATTACTGAATTTTCCTGTCCTTTCCCCCCATCCTCAATCACTGCTACTACTATTGCTACTATTTAAAATGATTCAGGCATGTCTCTGAACATTTCATATTACGAACACATCTAAGGCTAGACACTGCCCTGTGAGGTTGGTGGCAGTTCTATTTCACAAATGAGGTCACAAGTAACATAACTTACAGAAAGCTGTAACAAATCAATTTACCAACCATGCTGATGACCTGACCTATATTATCTTTCAGGTTCACTTAACTTACAAAATGAAAAAACAAAAAACAAAAAACAAAAACGATATACTGACCTATAATCTGTAAGCATCCATCAGGATGGAATTCTCCAATATCACCAGTGCAAAACCACCTTTGTCCATTTTCATCCACAGAATAATCTTCTGCTGTTTTCTCTTCATTTTTAAAATATCCCATCGAGATATTCTGGCCACCAATCACGATCTCACCTCTGGGGTTTGGTTTATCATGAACTGTATAACCACCTAGAAATAATTTTCAATAATCAGTTATTATCCAAAACCAAAATTCATCCTCTTTCATAAATCCTTTAATACAATTATTTTGTGTGCATGTGTACATGTCCACATGGCACAGTGTACATTAAGTCAGAGACTCAGACCATCAGGCTAGAGAACATGTAACTACTAAGTCATCTCAACAACATTTCATTAATTTTTAAAGTTTCCTTGTTATTCTTAATTTTATATTGTGTTTATGAATGAATCATAATTTACATTTAGTCAGTTACCTGAGTATAATAAGGGAGTGATTTGAGGGACATCAGAGAAAACTCTATGATAATCACCACTGAAGACCTCCTACCCAAACCTTCCCATGACACCTAACTTCAAACCCAGGACATAATTAAAGCTTAGAGGTCACAGGATTCTTAAGATAAAGCCATCCCAAACAAGAGCAACACTTAAAGCTGTTTTAAGTAAGTCACCGATATGATGCTATCAATACTTCTCAGATTTTAAGTCAGGGAAGTTTCACTTAAAGACAACAGACAGTACCTAAGACAGGCAATAGTGTTAAGCAACAGAAAATGAGAAATGAGAAAAATTTTACAGACTTAAACAGTGACCAGACAATTACTGTCTGGTAGTTATTATCAGTTCTTTCTGGCATGGCAAGGTTGTTTAATTATTTGTTAATTTAATAATCTACTTTACTGTAATTAATATTTATTATCTTTTTAATTTATTTTTTATTTATTACAATTTATTCCCTTTGTATCCGAGCTGTAGCTCCCTCCCTCATCTCCTCCAAGCCCCACCCTCCCTCCTTCTTCTCCTCCTATGCCCCTCCCCCAGTCCACTGATAGAGGAGTTCCTTCTCTCCTTCCATCTGACCCTAGCCTATCAGGTCTCATCAGGACTGTCTGCATTGTCTTCCTCTGTGGCCTGGTAAGGCTGCCACCTCCTCAGTGGGAGATGATCAAAGAGCCAGCCACTGAGTGCATGTCAGAGACAGTCCCTGTTTCCCTTACTAGGGAACACTCTTGGACACGGACTACATGGACTACATCTGTGCAGGAATTCTAGGTTATCTTCATGCATAATACTTGGTTGGAGTATCAGTCTCAGAAAAGACCCCTGTGCCCAGAATTTTTTGGTTCTGCTGCTCTCCTTTCCTGCCACTTTCAGGTCTTTCCCTACACTCTGCCCAAAGTTTGACTATGAGTCTCAGCATCTGCTTATTGTCTTTTATCATCTCCATCACAGGAAAATTCATTTACTTCTGTCTCCAGCTCTTTGTAAAAAGAATTATCATTAGTGTGAGTCTGGTTCTGGATTCATCTAAATGTTACATACATGGGTCTTGACTATGGAAATCTGCTAGGGTCAAGACCTTGTGGTATATGTGTGTCTTTCTGCCACCTGAAAATCCAGGGTTTTTAAGTCAGCACCAATGTCATCACTAGCAGAGTTGTACTTCAAAAGGTGTCTCATCTTTTCTAAACCCAAGAAAAGCTCCACCTTGCCATCAAGCATTTCCTAAACTGAAAATCACATTTTCTCCACTGAGACAGGGAAATCACAGGGAACAGGCAAAACAAAAGAATCACTTGTTATGACAGACAGCTCTCACTTCAACGAAATAGAAGTATTGAGGCTCCCAGAGATTTTCAGAGCATCTAGAGTCACAAAAGCTTGTGTGAAACCTTTACCTTCCTGCCAGTCTTTCAGCTTAATTTCACAGCAAATAAGAGGGGCTCCAACTCTTCCAGTAGTATAGTCAGTAACTACGAAAGAAAAAGCAACAATTAGTATACAATGGTTCCAATATGCTCAGCAAGCCACTAGAGAAACACTGAGTCTAAAAGATGACAAATGAGGTCAAAGGGGAAGTGCTAGTTCTTCATTTTACAGCATTTGGACTCCTGTTTCCATACTATATTTTTTATTTTAGGAGCTATATTTTAGATAATTACATTTAAAAAATATGCTACGAGGGAAGGACTAGGTCCACCATTATCTACCCAGGATTCTGCCACGACAGAATGTGATGAGAATTGCTGCTCTATCACTCACTACACGTCTCAGACACATTAATTAGCTTTAGCTGCCATTTCTTCACCTATAAACACACTAACTTCACATAAGTACATGCTGTGAAGATTAAATGTGACAATGAAGGCATTGTCACAAAGAAAATGGTCAAGGAACTTTAACCACTGTTCTCAGTCATCATCATCACAATGGCTTTAGCTCTTCCTTGGCAATCTGTGACTATTCTTAGCAATAATCACATCTTCAGATGGCTTATTATGAACCCAGTAATATATTAAACATGTGAGCTAACATACAATGGATGACGTGACCCAGCCCTCAGAGGCCTTACCAATAGACTACTCAGAAAGAAATTTATATGAAACAGGGCAGAGAAACTTAAAAACCTCATCTGCATTGACAAGTGATGACAGAAATGATCTGAAGAGCTAGGAGAAGGATGTGAGTCCTGAAAGCCTACTACAAAACCTTGGCCTCATTCCTTACAAAATAGCTTCAGTTTGTAAGATTAACAGTTGCCTTATCCTACAGACAGTTATGAAATCAATAATTGGACCTTGAGTAGTCTCAAAAAGGAGTTACATATTAGATAGCCAAGAAATATAAGAAAACTGCCACTGTGTCTTGGACGCTGTATCTCATGACAGTGAGAATGTCTTTTGCAGTTAAATGTCCTTGAGGCCACACACAGATTGTTCCCACTGTATCAAGAACTAAGATGACAGGGCTCTACCCACAGTGTGGATAAACAAAGGAACCTCAAAAATCTTTGGATTCACAGTATCATTTACATTATGGTTTGACACCTCACATTCCTACTTTGTGGGCTTTCTAGGTGATAACAGCAGGCAAAAAATTTTTAAAAACAGTTTGGGGAGCGGGACATAAGAGGGTTTGGAGGGAATAAAGTGAAGGGATTGTTTAATTAAACTATAGTCTCAAAAAATTAATTCACTCTACAATAACATATAAGGGAATGTTCAACTTATCCCTATGGGTATGTCATTTACCTCAGACAATAGTCACAAAAACATGGGTCACTCTCCCACTTTAGGGACACAAATTCTAATCTCTATGGAATACTTGCATTGCTTTACTTACTGCCTGTGACTTTCATTTGAAGACTTCTATAACAAGCATGATAATACGCTAGATACCAGAAAGACCAATATAAAATGAAGTAGCCAGAAAAGACCTTATAAAAGGTGGCCAATTTGATTGGCTATAACTAGTCAACAAAATGGGTATCCCCCAAAAAGAGAAATTACAGTGAGGTTAAGACCCAAAATCTATGTCAAAAGAGATGGTTGGCTTGCCTAGAGAGAAAAAGACAGGTGTGTAAGATGATAGATAGGCGTAACTGTGCTAGATCAAAGACATAGTAAAAAAATAGGTAAAGATGTATTCACATCTGTCAAACAGTGGGTGGAATAGATGTGCCTAATAAAAGCAGAGAGGACAAACTAAAGGGCTGTCTGAAGCAATAAAGGTTGACATGACAACTTTGGCAAAGTTAGTGAAAGAATGGAAAGATCTGATTGAAGTTAAAGATAGTAAACAGTTTGTGTACTTCAAAGTTGATTAATGCCTGGAATGATTTCAAAGACATGATAATGCTGACACAAATAATTTAATAATAGGTAGACAGTTTGGATTGGAATAAAGTTATTACTTTTGGACATAACCAATGTAAAGTGATAGTAACCTCCTTCAAAAAAAGTTCCTCAGCTGCAGAAATGGCTCAAAGGTTAAGACCCCATGCTGTTCTTGCAGAGGCCTAGATTTTAGTTTGCACAAAATTCAGGTGGCTTATATGCAACCACCTGTAAATTTAGCCACAATAGATCCAACATACTCTTCTGGGCTCTGTGGATACTTGCACTAACATGCGTGCATGCATGTGAACACAGGCACAAGTATAAAATATGTCATTTAAAATTTTTCATGCAATGTATTTTGATGATACCTCCTTATTCCTCTGAACCTCATTATCACACAACTCCAAAAAGAAAACCAAAACAAACAAAAACCCAGTAAGACAACTTGTCTTCCAAAAAAGCTCCCCCAGCCACACACACAAATGAGAGTCTGTTTTGTGTTGGCCAACTACTCCTGGGATGAGTCCTGTCCTTGATTATAATACTGCATTGAAGAAAACACTTTCCCTTTATCATCTCATATCAATCAGGCTGATATGTATATAAACTCAAAAATGGGACGACATGCAAAAGACCTATATAAGCTCAAACAAGGAAAAAAAATCTTAAAAAAAAAAAAAGATTCCTATATAACCCAGTGTTTCTCAACCTGGCGGGATTTTTATGTGCTCAAAAGATATGTGGCAATATTTGAAGATATGTTTCATTTTCACAGCATGAGTGAGCAAGTTGCTACTAGTAATGTGACTGTTAATACCATTAAGTACACAAAAGAGAATGTAACAACAAAGAATTACGTGGTCAAAATGTGAAGAGGGCCAAGGCTGAGACACTCTGTCTTTGGGAATTGAAGGTAACAGAAGACAAAGAAAAAAAAAGAGAGAGAGAGAGAAGAGAGATGTAAGAGGGATACTTCTCTCTTAGAGTTCAATTATCCAACATGATTATTGAGATCATGCTACCATCAAACCGTCTATGTGTATGTACACCTATATAGATTTGTGCTGCTCTCAATATTGGTTAGAAAAATCTTCTTTTTGAAGTAGATAATGGTTAATGCAGAGAATCGTAAGTGTCTGGTATAAGTAGCTGTGAGTGTTTAGCTATGGACATATTGTCTGTAAGAGTGGTTCTTAAGCTATTGGTCACAACCCCTTTGACAAACCTCTATATCCAAAAATATTTACACTACAATTCATAACAGCAGTAAAATTACATTTATGAAGGAGCACCAGCAATTATTTTATGGTTGGCGGTCACTACAACATGAGGGACGGTATTAGAAGGTCATAGCATTAGGGTATTCTCCGCAATACAAATACTTGACTGATGTTTACCTTCAGTAACTGTCCCAGCTCCACATGATTCTGTCAGTCCATAGCCCTGACCAATAGGGCAGCAGAAGCACACATTCATGAATCGGTGTGTCTGAGGAGACAGTGGTGCCCCTCCAGACAGCATCATTCGGACATTCCCTCCCAGCAGAGCCTTCACCTTTTTAAAGAGTAACCTTGAAAAGAAAGGAAAAAAAAGAAATAGTCATGCTGTCACACAGTCTTGATACCCAACTTAAAAACTGTGGTAAAGTTCTCAAAACTGTGGCTGACCAAAGACATCTCCAAATCATGATAGTAATGGAGGGTAACAAAGCATCAGCGAAAAACACCTTCAAAATTTGCTGGAAAAGCATTCAGCTCTTCCCCCAAATCCAAATGTACAATATGTGGAATTGTGCTCTGATACATGCTAAACTAAAGAAAATGATGTCAAAGAAAAAAATTTAAGCTTTCTATGAAGCATTAGGTCAATTACCTTATGAGCCTTCTAATGAAAAATTCCACTGATACAGTTTTATTGTTATAATCATCAAGTTACTATAATTCTACGAACACAATAAAAGAGAAAAATGCATACAGAATACATCTTGAAAATCACTTTTGGGGGCTAGAGCAATGGCTCAGTGGTTAAGAGTACTGTCTACTCTTCCAAAGGACCTGGGTTCAATTCCCAGCACCCACATGACAGTTCATAACTGCCTGTAATGTCAATTTCAAGGGATCTGACACCTTCACACTAATGCAAATAAAATAAAATTATTAAAAAAAGGAAAAATTACTTTTGTGTATGTGTGTATACAGTGATATGTTACATATGTACTATACATAGGTTTAAATTTCAATGTTTTTATTCAAAACTGTATTCCAGTGTTTCAAGAGGCCTAATTAATAATTATTTACTTCATTATTAAAATTAATTAACCCATAAAACTCAGAGTCCACAGTCTTTTCAATCTTATATAAACAATAGGATATAGAATAAAGAATAAACTGAGATTTTAAACCTTATCAGAATATTCAAACTAAAGGAATATACCATTTACTTGGTCATTTTTCAGACTAAAAAATGCAAAATTTTATAGGCACATTGACACATGTTCATGGTGTCAGATTTTGAAAAGCTGAGGCAGGAGGGTTACTTAGGTCAAGAACTTTGAAGCCATACTGGAAAATGTCAAAATCTGGATACCATACTATACCATGCCAAACAGAATACAGTACAGGATCAAAATACAATGTCTCTGAAATGTACTTACAGATTACAAAGAGGTGCATCATATCCTTTTTTGATTTGCTCTAATTTGTAATCATAACCTATTTTGAATAGGGTTTTCTGAACATAATTCATCTCTTGAACCTTGCTCATAACATTCTTGTAAATTCTATCCATGATTTCCTGCAAGATAAACAAAATACTAAATAATCTGAAAGAATTACAACACCATCAAAGATAGTCTCAAATTGATGATACCTTGATATAACCTCTTAGGTCAGTGGTTCTCAATCTTCCTATGCTGCAACCCTTTAATACAGTTCCTCATGTGGTGGTGACTCCTAACCATAAAATTATTTTGTTGCTACTTCATAATTAATTTTGCTATTGTTATGAATCATAATGTAAATATCTTATATGCAACCCCTGTGGAGGTTGCAACCTACATGTTGAGAAATGCTGTCTTAAGAGGAGGTCTCTGGGATAATGGACATACTTATTTCCTTCATTACAGAACTAATTTCATTGCTGTGGTCAGTACATCTAGGAAACTAAAGACAATACACATTAGCACACAGTATTCCATAAACATACACAATCTAAAATAAAATAAAAATTTAATTTTAAAAAGACTCCTCACAAGTGTAAGATTTACTTTGGTTCAACATAGTAAGTTGATCAAAAAATCTTTAAAACAGTAGCCAGTTGTGGTGGTGCATGCCTTTAATGCTAGCACTCTGGGGAAAGGCAGGAGGATCTCTGTGAGTTCAAGGTCAGCTTGGTCTACAAAGAGAGTTCAGGACAGACAGGGCTACACAGAGTAACCTGGTCTCAAAAAACAACAGTCTTTAAAACACATAAAGTGATTAATAGACCTCTACGCAGAAAAGACCATGGAATGCTCAGCTCTAAATGAGATTCTACTGACTGGTTTTGTTTGTCAGCTCAACACAATTACTCAAGTAGTGATTGACACAATTAGGGATGTGGGTGGTGCCATCCCTCGCCTGGTGGTCCTGGGATCTATAAGAAAGCAGGCCGAACAAGCCATATGTACCAAGCCAGCGTGCAGCATCCCTCCATGATCTCTGTATCATCTCTTGCCTCCAGGTTCCTGCCCTGTTTGAGTTGCTGCCCTGACTTCCTCCAACGATGGGCTACAATGTAGAACTGTAAGCCAAATAAACCCTTTCCTCCTCAAATTACTGTTTGGTCATGTTGTTTCGTCACAGCAACAGGAAACCTAACTAAGACAGAGATATATATGTTCCACACAGAGAGATGGGGGAACTTTGCAGAAGGACAGACTGAAAGGCTGTAAAAGGCAGAAGTGGTCAGTAACTTCAAGAAATCAGTTTTCAGAGACAACAGGGCAGATGAATATATCAACTCACAGTGATTGTAACATGCAAAAGTTCAGTGCAAGCTCAAGCCAGACAAAATCCCATCATGGGTCCAGGGCAAAAAATCATACTACCGTGTAAAAAGTATTGGCATCTGATAGCTGCTAGAGAAGAAGAATCTGTTTTCTTTCATAGTGTGATCCCTGATAAGACAACCATATTCCAGGATAGGTTCCATTCCCAAGAGTAGTTGGGCAATACAAACTAGACTCAATGGTTTAAAACAAAACAACAAAAAAGAATTAAAAAAAAAAAAACTCAGTAATGGCTGAAAAGAGGGAACAAGGTAGGAGAGAGGGCACAGAGAGTTAAGAGGGTGGAAATCAGAACTGAGGAGAGCCAGAGCAAGGGAAAAGAAGGCCTGTAGACAAAAGAGAAACTGGGGTTGGGATATCCCTGTGATAAGCTGGAGACCTAAGTCAGGTAGGCTCCTGGGAGGATATGAAGGAGACTCAAGCAGAGACTCCTAGTAGTAGCAGAGGTCATAGAGACTGAAGAGAACACCCTCTAGCTACAACCAGTCTTCTGGTAAAGGGCAGGGAATACCAACCTACCCACAAAAACTTCAACCCAAAATTTACCCTGCCTACAAGATGTGCAGAGATAAAAATAGAGCAAATAGAGGGAACAGCAAACCAATAACTGGCCCACCCTAAGAAGAGTGTCAACCCCCGACACCGTGAATGATACTGGGCTAAGTCAGAGTTGTCCTCTGAGAGGTCCTACCCAGCAGAGCCTCAAAACAGATGCTGAGACTCACACATTGGTCAACACCTAGGGACTCTTGGGGGAAAGTGAAATGGGAGGAAAAAGAAAAGGACCTGAAACTGACAGGAGCTCCACAAGAAAACCAAAAAAGCAAACTAATTAGGACCCAAAGGGGCTTACTGAGACTGAAGCATCAACCAAGGACCATGCATGAACTGGACCTAGACCCCCTACAAAGATGTAGCAGATGTGCAGCTTAGGCTTCAATTGGGTACTCTAGAAGGGGAAGTGGAAACTGCATCAGACACAGACTCACTTGCTAGCTTTTAAATCACTTTCACCTGGTGGGACTCCCTTGTCAGGCCACAGGGGAAGAGGACATGCTTAGTCCTGATGCAACTTGATGAGCTGGGGTGGATGGGAAAGGGACCTCCCTTTTTCTGAGAGAAAGGGAAAGGGGAGGAAGGAGGGAGAGAGGGTAGGAATAGAAGGAAAGGAGCTACAAGGATGTAAAGTGAATAAAATTAAAAAGAAAAAAAAGTAAATATATAAATTAAAAATAAATTTTTAAAAAGAAAAAAAAAAACCCTCAAGTTTGGGTAAGTAGAATAAGGAAGGTGGATGTGGAAGGACTTAGGGGAGAGCAGCAAGTACGATCAAAATATACTGTATTATTCTCAGATAAATTAAAATTTTGTGTAAAAATCTTAGCATGGAAAGAATTCATTCGGCTCTCAGAGAGTTTTTGAAATAAAGTATTTCAAATAAATTTCCTTATTCTCAGCAGCAAAATACCTAACTATGTTGAATCAAATCCCATTAGTTTTCTCCTAATGGCAAGGGTCTTAACAGTTTCCTAAAAATCTTATATCCTTGTTAGTTAGGCATTTCTCTTCAACTTTGAAACAAAAATTTTAAAATATTAAGATTCTTGGTAATAGTTACTTACAAATTATAGATATAGTGAGGTTTGGGATATACTGACTCAGACTAATATGTACAAGGCAAAACTACCTCAATTATTAAGTGATGATTTGAAAAAAAAAATGTTTAGCAGAAAACAACAAAGCACAGCTGTTCATAAATACCGGGTTCTAAATACTGAAGGCATCAATCACCAGCATTAACTAAGCTGTGCTATAATGCATATTTATGAATGTTTCTTTCAATATCAAAGCAGAGCCATAAACAAATGGAGGTCAGCAGAATCATACCTTTAAAGTGCTGCCATCATAGTTAAGCATGGTATATATACATAAAGTTGTCTTCTCCATTTCCATAAAAAGAATCACTACTGTATCACTTGAGTATTTCTGTAGGTCTGTGACTGAGAAATCCCAGTGATTCCCTCAGAGGACTTTAACATACAACCACCCCCTTATAAGTTGGAGGCATCCAAAAATTATAGACACAAAAGAAAATACATGGGAAGAAAGCCAATGTGTGAGAACTACTTCTACTACTTACTAATTTTAGGCATGGAAGGTCTTATGAATAAAATGTCCAACACAGTTACAAAGTGGCAGGGTTTATAGTTAGCTCAAAATAAAAATTTACCATGTTCCATCTAGTTATTGTTAATTAGAAGTAGTGTAGTATTCTATATTCTCTTAGTAAATATCAACAATGCTAACATTTTCACTGTGCTCTCATCAAGCAAGGTAACAAACCCAGAAAATATGAATAAGGAGCTACTTTTAAAAGGCCATTTGCAGAGCAACAGGAGGATTTAAGGAAAGCAACCAGGTTTAATGAAATACCAATACTATGTGACACAGACTGTTGAGCATTCTTAGATAAGGAAATATCAACTATCAATGTGAACAAGGAAAATAGCCGTGGAAAATACCTGATTCAACCAATGGGAAAGAGACTGTTCACAAGTCCTGGACAGCTGCTGAGCTCATAGGCCAGCAAAAAAATCAATCTTTGAAGAGGATCTTCAGTTGTCCTAATCCAAACAACAATCACAGGGATTGCAAGACGACTAGATGGTCTAGATGTCTGTGAAATTATTTCCAGAGACCATATTGTCATAAGGACTCTGATCTAATTGATGGTTTAATCCACTAATGGAGATATTTCTTTAGGAAGAACTTCAGGAAGGTGATAGATCAGATGCTACCTTCTTGTGGTATGTGAGAAGTGCTGCCCCTTAGATTCAGCTCTCTCACCAACCTGAGCCATAATCTTGGATGGTCGAGGACTTCCTTAATTGCTTTTATTTATAAGATTAAATAAAATGATGTGTAGAATACATTTCTACCTTAAGACATTAGGACCATGCCTCATTCTAGGTACTTTGAAGATCATTTTCACCTTGAATTTTCAAGCATCAGCAAACACGCATAGGCATACATTTTCGATGTTGGTATTTCTATCATTTTAGGAATCACCTATGCCAACATTTCAAAGTAAAATCATTCTTAAGAGGACACATATACCTAACAGTATTACACTTTAAAAATTAGAAATTCGAGCAAAAACTTGTGTGAGTGATCCTTTGTTATTTGCACAATTAATACTGTACTCACCGGAACAGCAGCCATAAGTGTGGGTTTCAGGACAGTACAATCACCTTTGCTTCCCTTCTTGATTTTGCTGGACTGCATTAATGAAAAAAAAAAACTTATGTTAGCAAAAAATGGGGGGTGAAAGATCTAATTCAAGTATTAATAACAAAAACAGTATTTACACATGGGATTTAATCTTTCATTACGTCCATCTATTTCAAGTCCAAAGAGTACGTATTTTGTATTTTATTCTGTTGCTTTAGTTTCTAACACATCTCAACCTTCCCTAGAAGAGACACTGACCCAGGATAACAATGTAATTGGGATTTGTATTAGTAATGTACCATCAATTATAACAGACTGCATTTGCAAGAAAATAACTATTTTTTACAAAGCTCCATTAAAAGTATACTAATCACTAAAACAAAATTGAAGGTTACTTTTTAACTAATTAGTAGGCAAAGATTTATCTCAAAATGACCACTACAGACATCAATTAACATCATACAGAAATAATTTCATAATAATCTGGTAAATAGCATGGGAACGACCATGCCAGTGGCCAACTGGCAACATGCACACAGACATGTTAAAGTGCACAATTTCTTACATGTACAAATAACATTTGGGAGTTCAAATGTCTGATTAATCACAGGTAGAAGATTGATAAAGTCATTTATCAATGCTGAAAAAAGTAGATAAAAATCAGAATCTCTCATAAGGTGATTTACTACTTTATAAATGTAAATGAAACATATTAACCAGGCTAATACAGGAAAGAAAACTAGCTCAAGAAGTGAGATCCATAAGAAGTGGCACATGGGTTCTACTGGTAGAGCAAGTTTTTTCTCTCTCTTCCTTTTCTTAAATCATTTTTCTGTGTGTAATTTCAAATGTGCTTAAACTATGAGTTAGTGCTGCCTATTGCTGGACTTTTTGCTATGGACAATAGAGACAAAGGAGAACCCTGGTTCGGTGTATAGCTGAGGGCTATTCTTGGAGATGCTCCCGTGCTATCTAACTGAATTTTCTGCAAAGCTGCAAATATCTGGGATCTGTGCTGTCCAGCATGAGAGCAATTGGTCACATAGGTATCAGGAACCTGAAATTTGGCTAAATAAAACAAAAAACCAAGGGTGGTAATGGTGCATGCCTTTTATCCCAGCACTCAAGAGATAGAGGCAGGAGGATCTCTGAAAAGCAATGTCTATTTAAAGATGTGGCTAGTGGCACAGGTACAGAATAATTTCAGAAGAAAACTAGGCCTAAAACCTACACCTCTTCAGAAGAACCAGTTGGTCCAGAACAGCATGTCAAAGGTTCAGTGAATTACACTTTCTAGTATAAGTCTCCAGCGTAAAAATCTAATACCAAAAGAAGAGAGGAATTATTCCAAAATAATTGTAAATATGGGCTGAAGTCAATTTTAATACCATATTACCATGGAAACCTATGTTGAATGCCACAGAAACTTTTTATTGAGTGAATAATCATGAACCGCCCCCTCCCCCCAGAAAAAATTATCACCTGGTCAGACAGTGTAAGTGGAGATGAATATCCAATCCTACAGCCATAGGTGAAGCATGATATTTCTGCTGTCAGTTCCAGTACATGAGCCAAAGGTAAGTAGCCAATATATGTGTCCTTTGGTCTAAAACCAAATAAGGAAACATATTAGCCACTTTTGAAAAGGCAGCTTAAACATATAAGTTAATTATTAACTCTGAATTTCTAATAAAGTTGAACAATCCTCTCTTACCCTAGTCCAGGTATTCTTTCACACTGGCCTGTCATTCCAGCTATCAGATTGCTATGATGCATCATCACTCCCTTGGGTCGGCCAGTAGAACCACTAGTATACATGACAATGGCCATGTCTGAAGGAGTTGGTCTATTTGGAGGAATGCTTGCTAAAAAAAAAAAAAAAAAAAAAAAGAAAGAAAAGAAAAAAAAAGGAAAAGCACATTTTCTTCAGTTCACAACTTGAATTACTTGATAAGAATGTATTTTTATTTTATATATGATACAGATTTCAAAATGACTCTGGATTAACAAAAAGTAAAAGTGGTTATCAAATTCCAGTTGACTGAAATAAAGATTTCAAACGCAATCCAGCCTATTTTTAGAATGTTTAGCCTAAGCCCCATCTGACTAAGCCTCTTCACAGTGCTATACACAGAATTGGGAAGGATTTCTAAGACTGTGAAAACTGGAAGGATAGCATCCTGTATAGCTTCCTTAGCTCTAGATAATGGTTTGGGGCCAGGCATGGTAGCAACAACCTTTAACCCTAGCATTCCGGAGGCAGAGGCATGTATGTCTCTGAGTTCAAGGCCAGCCTAGTCTACAGAGCAAGTTCCAAGACAACCAGGGCTACACAGAGAAACCTCATCTGAGGAAGTGGGAGGTAGAACAAGGCATATCACTGAAACAACCAAGCTCAGAGTTCTATACTTAAACAGGCCGACTCCAATGCTCACTCAGGGTGCTAATGATCATGATCTGAGGATCAACTGACGCAACAGCAAGTGGGCACATTCTTTTGTTCTCAGACCCCAAGCACCCAATATGACATTTCTCATCTGTCTATTTTTGGATAAACATGCAGAACATGTCCTCATAATAATAATTACCTACACAGGTAATAGCATAGACTACAACATGTGTCATAACTCTACATATAACAGCTGTTATTATGACACATGATTATACTCAGGTAAAGTAGTATCACAATAATATATAGATCCTATCTATCTGGGAGATAAATGGATGTCAGTGATCCATGTCAGAACTCAAAATTGTGAGGACTGATAACTATCGTCTAAGCTTATGTCAAATGCTCTAGTAGATCATCAGAATGGGCAATAGTAGACCCTCCCAATTTCCCAATCAAGCATGTACCAATCTCATAGTAAGAACCTAGTGATAACAGGTCATTCTCCACAGGTCTTTATAATTCTGTGCATCAAGCCAGTAGACCCATTGGTTTTGCATTGGACTGTCCTTTCAATGGATACACGCTAAGATATATACTCTCAGAAAAGACCCCTGTGCCCAGATATTTTGGTTATGTTGCTCTCCTTGTGGAGCTCCTATCCTTTCCAGATCTTGCTATCTCCCCCTTCTTTCCTAAGATTTCCTGCACTCTGCCCAAAGTTTGGTTATGAGTCTTGGTATGTGCTTTGATACACTGCTAGGTAGAGATTTTCAGAGGGCCTCTTTGGTAGGCTCCTGTCCTGTTTCTAACCTTCATCCAATGGTCGTCCCTTTGCCTTTCTGAGTGAGGATTGATCATCTTACCCAGGGTCCTCCTTCTAGCTCAGCTTCTTTAAATGTACAGATTTTTGTAGGTTTATCCAACCGAGGACCATTCATGGATATAACCTAGAACTCCTGCTCAGATGTAGCCCATGACAGCTCACTTTCCAAGTGGATTCCCTAGCAAGGGGATCAGAGACTGTCTCTGACATGAACTCAATGGCTAGCTCTTTGACTGCCTCCCCTGATGGGGTAGCAGCCTTACCAGGCCACACAGGAGGACAATGCAGCCAGTTCTGATGAGACTTGATAAGCTAGAGTCAGATGGAAGGGGAAGAGGATGTCCCCTATCCATGGACTTGGAGAGGGGCATGGGAGGAGATGAAGGAGGGAGGGTGGGATTGGAAGGGAATGAGGGAGGGGATTACAGCTGGGATACAAAGTGAATAAACTGTAATTAATATAAAATTTTAATCAAAAAAGATATATACTCTCCAGAGTGAATAATAGGCATGCTTACTATCTAGAACAGGAGAAAGAATAAAATATTTGGCTTCAGGGCTTCTTACCTATGATATAAATATGAACATGATAGTCTGACCATTGTTCTGAAGAAAAAAAAAAATCTGCCTCATCTCTAACCTAAAGTCTCCTAGCTGTCTTCAAGCAATTCATCCAAGATTGCCTTCTTCAGGAGAAAGGAAATTTTCAGACATATGCAGTTTTTATCACTTTTAAAATCAAACAACTCCAGCATTTTTACTAATGACACATCTTTTATTAATGTCATATTGATCTGCTAAAATAACAAATATTAATTTATGAGGAAATTAAGTTCAATTGATTTACTTACAGTTTTCTGGCTTAGATCCCAACTCTTCTACTGATTGCATGCTGTGAATCTCAAACCCTTCAGGGTACTCTGCTTTATTGATAGTCTTATTATCCACATAAATGATATGTTTAACACAATTGATATCTAATAATGCCGCCTGTGAAAAATAAATAAAAGCTAGCTTTTCGATTTGGCACACTGTAAAAATTCTTATTAACTGAAAGGACTGAAAAATATCTACTAAAGTGAATTTCACTATCAATGATAATTACAGAAAAATTTAGGGTGTTCTAGTATTATAAACATAAATAAGCATTAAATAAAACACCCATAGCTTTAGGATGTTAACAACTAAAACCAAAACATTAAAATTAATAGCAACAACATTAAACAATAAAACATCACTGAGTCTAAAAAAATCCAGAAAAATCAACAACAAATCAAACCCAAAAAGAAAAGAATAAAGAATAGAGCTAAATGAAATAGACTTCAATACAAAAGGTGAAGAGACCACAAATGAGTTCTTCAAAAGTTAAACAGGGTCTGGGGAGATGGCTCAGTCTGGAAAAATGTTTCAGCATATTGAAATGAAGGGTTTTTTTTTTCAATTGTTTCTGTTTTTTTTTTTTTCTTGAATAAACTCCAAAGCATATAAAATCAAAGCAAAAGAAGACAATGGCATTGTGTGAAACTAAAGTTTCTAAACAGTAAAGGAAACAGTCATCAAAACAGGAAGAAACTACAGGGCAGGATAAAATACTGCAAACCCTACATGTGACATGATATAGATTCAGAGACTCAGCAACAAAAAGACAAAGAATGCAAGTAAAAATGGGCAATAGGGCTATGCAAAGATTTCTCAAAAGGAATCACGCAAAGAACCAACAGATCCATGGAAAAAATTCTCAGCATCACGAATCATCATGGAAATGTAAGTCAAAATCACATGAAATTTTACTTAACTTCCAAGAGAATGACTATTAACAAAAAGGCAAAGGCATAAGTAAGTCTATGGAGCAAGGAGAATCCTTGTACCACACAGTAGATGAAAATCTACATCAATATTGTCATTTATTTAAAAAAATAAAAAAACAGTGCAGACAGTCCTCCAAAACTTAAAAATAGGATTTCTATATGACCACAATCTTAATATTAGAAATCCCAAATGAATGAAATCATTATGTCAATGTCATTTATGCTCTCAAAATCAATATTGTACTATTCACAATAGCCAAGGAATGGATACAGGCTATCAACTCATGGATAAAGAAAACCTGTTACCTATATACATTGGAATACTATTCAACCATGAAAAGAATGAGAGCCTACTATTTGCAACAACTTGGCTGCAATTAAAGATCATTAGTATAAGTGGACTAAGGCAGGCATAGAAAGATAAGTAGTATATAATCTCATCCATGTAAAATGTAAGAAAAGTTTATCCAATTGAAGTTGAGGGTAGAGTTGTAGTTCCCAGAAACTGGGTAGAACAAGAAGAGTGCTAGGACAGAGAAGTTGATTAATGGGTACTAAGTTATAGCTGGATATAGAGGAAGAAGATATGGTGTTACTGCACAGCAGGTTGGCTATACTGATAACATATGCTATATTTCAAAACACTGAAAGAGAGAATACTCATGTTTCATCATAAAAAAATGAAAAATATTTATGAAAACCTGTTTTAAGCTGATTTGAACATTACACAGTGTAAACATACACTGAAATATCACATGGTAACACATATCTACACATACATTTTTACATACTGTTTTAAACTTAAATAGAAATTTTAAATAATTAAATTTCATATTTACCTTCAGTTTGCTTTCCAGGAGTTCAACACTAGTAATCAGATAGGAAGCTTCAGATTCATTTAATCCATGAACTACAGCATCTTTGCCAAGTGTGGCATATAAAGTCACAACTATATAATAAAGATAAACACAAAAATTGTACACTTAACTCTTTTGAGGATGACATGATTTTTAAGCCAGGCCTTACAGACAGCAACACTATACACACAAAAGCATTTTATAATTTGATTTGATTTCATAGTTTCCAGGTACCTCAAAACTTAGCTATACAAATTCCCAGGAATCAAACTGAAATATTTAAGTTCAGCAGGTCCTGGTTGAAGTCCTATCAGAGTATAACCCAGAAACAACTCACCTGTGGCATATACTTTCATTGGTCATTGCCCCAAAGAACAGATAAGACAATTTTCGAAAATTTCAAGATCGCAAGTCAGAAGATCAGCCACAAATAATGTCCTTAGTCCTTTAAAATTTTTTTTATTGGGTTCAAATTCTAATGCCACTAGTGATTTCGGTACCTTTCCAAGCGAGGCTTGCAATGTGTCCCAGAGGACCCGCCAGACAACAGCATAAACTAAGAGTAAAATCAGTTGGAATTGTGTTACATTTGCTAAATTGATTTAGCTTGCTTCTGCTAACTAGAAATAGCCCACACAGTAACAGGCAGCTTTTTTTTATTGCTTGTTGAAGATAGGTGAAGAGGACATATGGGAACGTGTAGCACACATCTTTGAAATAACAGTTGATCCCTACACTTAACCTGTAGTACTCTGATTTCCTCTTTCAAGTGTGTGTGTGTGTGTGTGTGTGTGTGTGTGTGTGTATACACTTATTTTTTTCAGTGCTGAGGAACAAAACCATAATTTCAACTATGCTATGAAAATGTTTTACTTTTCAAAGTCAGGCCACTTCAAAAGCAGAAACATCTCAGAACACACTTCACATTTAAGCAAAGCCTCCCCGTGACCCCGTAAAAAGCACAAGGCACTTACGGGGAAAGTTGTACTTGAAGCAGGTCTGTGCTGCAATCATCCACTCTGCCCTGGTCTCACAGAAAATGGCGATGGTGTTCTTTGGTTTCAGTCCCAATGCAGTGAGTCCACTTCCAAAGTTATTCACTCTGCAGTTTACTTCAAGATAGTTTATCCATTTATAATTCCCGAGAATTAACTGTTAATAGCGAGACGTTTTCCACCATCAGAATATTCAAATAAGCAATTAAAATACTATTCAAAACATAGAACTCTCAAAACTCCCATTACGTAAATACTCAGAAGCTATGAGACCTCTGAGAATTCACCATGCACTGGAACACAATGCCAACATTCTTAAAAGCACTTTACTTATGACAAAGTAAACTGTACCTCTGTCATTAAAACAAATAAAAAGGACAAAAATGTTTTACCTTCTTAAAAACTTTTCCGTTTGGCTGCATTTCATTTTCTTCACTTAGGATTTCTCTGGTCCCAAGACTATCCTTCTTCCCAAACTTGGCTACAGCATGGTCAAACAATTTATCCAGAGTGTCTGCTCCAGGGATGTCTATGACAGCTAGTGAGTCGAAGTGCGTGACAGAGCGATATGGACTTCCAGGTTTGTCTGAAGTGGGCTTAGCTTTTATTCTCTTTGCCATAGCTTTTTTCTTCTTGGCATTGGTAAGAAAATACCATGGAATAAATATAAGGGCACTGTATATTGTTATTAACAAGTGGACAGGCAGCAATATAATGGTGAGCACATTTAGCTTAAGTTTCATAGTGGAAAGGCTTCTAATATGGCACTTATTAGTTGTTATTCTTTGGCTTCTTAAAGCCTTAGGTTTCTGAAGAAGGCAGTAATGGAAGCGGCAGTAAGAGTAGCAGTATAGCCAAAGTAGTTCAATTTTAGTGATACAGATAAAGGTTAGTAATCTTTGGAAGCCGACAATAAAGTATACCTGTAGGTAAAGACAATGAACCAGGCAGAGAATAGGGGAAAAAAAAAGAATATTAGCAAGGTGATAGCACAATTAATTTAAATACTCAGACCTTTATTAGTTTATATAATTGATTTGATATAGAATTATGAAGTAACTGGCATGAGATGCTGGCATTTTCAAGTTTAGTAATTATTGACATAAACATATTTTAGTCCAAGAACTTCTAAAATTTCATTTTTATCTAGGTTGAGATATAACAGTACTCTATATTTGTCCCTAAATCAGGCGAGTAACAGCAATTTCATGCTCTCATCAATGCATGAGGATGCAAAGAACACCCAAGAGATGTTATCCTTACTTCTTTATTAGGGTAAATTTCTGAGATAATGCTGACCACCATCTTCTCCAAATGAGAACAATATTATTATAGTTATTTCCTACATATTGTGCTCAAAACTACCAGTTGCCTGGGAAGAGTGTAGATCTGAAATAGTGTCAAGTTCTGGCCCTGGCCTATTGTGAGTTAAGATACAGTCTGCAAACTGATTTATTCAATTACTTTTATTCTTCTAAGACAGGGTTTCTCTATGTAGCCCTAGTTGTCATGGAACTCACTCTGTAGACTAGGCTGACCTCCCAACTCAGAGATCCACCTGTCTCTGGCTCCTGAGTGCTGGGATTAAAGGTGTGCGCCACCACCCAGCTCCATGGAGTTATTCTAGGTGAAGCAGGGGTTATATCCAAGGAACTCAGAGCTCCCTGGAATTTTACTACTAAAGCATTGCCACTGAAAAGCACTGACGAAATATCCAACAACACTGCAGTGTGCAGCACTAACAGTAGGTGCAGGCAGAGTTCAGAGAAAATTCAAAATGACCAAGAGTACATAAGAGAGATTAATGATAGATGTAACCTGGACCTTACTGTCGTGAAATTAATAAGAAACTTAAGAGTCACTTAAGTTTCAGTATGTGTCTCTGTCGATGCCTGACTATGTAACTTTGAACAAACAATCTTTTGTGGTCAGGCTAAATCAGTAGGCCTTAATTTTCTTTAAGAAATTAATCCTTTTGAAAACCCCATGAAACTTATGAACTCTACCCTATGGATTCAAGAGATTCCAGACATCATTTCATGAACTCAAATAGACAATATCAACCCCTATCTACAAATTTTAGGCCTACATGGTTTATTTGGGACTTTGCAAGTTTAAATTCTGATTTACACTAAACCTAGATATTGCTTTCTTGGTCTCACTGACATGTCTATCTAGTCACTCACTTCTTCAAGTGGCATGTCACAAGCCAAGTTTTCAAACACCCACCAGAAATTTCTTAACTGCCTAAGTCTACAATAATCTTTCCTTTATCTACTTTCCTACATTACTAAATCTATGTACCCTTTACTCTGCTACTTGATTACATCATCATCTCCATACATCTAGGCAGCTAACTTTTAAAGCACAGAGCAGTGGCTCTAAACCAATGTTTTGAGTATTTGTTTTGTTTTGTTTTGTTTTGTTTTTTGAGGCAAGGTCTCACTATGTATTCCTGGTTACCCAAGAACTCACAAGACAGACCAGGCTGGCTATTTTTAAAGTCTTTTTTTAATATTTTTAATTTTTTACAATTTATTCACTTTGTATACCAGTTGTAGCCCCCTCTCTTTTTCCCTCCCAATCCCATCCTACCTCCCTCTTCTCCTCCCATGCCCCTCCACCAGTTTACTGATAGGGGAGGTCCTCCTCCCCTTCCATCTGATCCTAGTCTATTAAGTCTCATCAGGACTGGCTACATTTTCCTCCTCTGTGGCCTGGTAAAGCTGCTCCCCCTTCAGGTGGAGGTGATCAAAGAGCCAGCCACTGAATTCATGTCAGAGACATCCCCTGTTCTCCTTACTAGGGTACCCACTTGGACACTGAGCTGCCTAAACTCAGAGATTCTCCTGGCTCTAGCTCCCAGCTACAAGGACTACAGGTATTTGCCACCAGCTTTCTTCCAACATTTCTCTTATAACACAAGAGTTTTCTTACTTCTTCATAAGCCTTAAAAGCAGTCACAGACAAGCTATCCATATGCATATATTTTAAAAATTAAGTTCTTTCTTTTTGTAGACAGGGTTTTTCTGTATAGTCCTGGCTGTCCAGGAACTCACTATGTAGACCAGGTTGGCCTCAAATCAGAGATGCATCTGCCTCGGCTTCCCAAGTGCTGAGATTAAAGGCAACACCACCACTTCCTGTCTTAAAGTTAAGTTCTTAATGTGTGGTGGTTTGAAGAAAAATGGCCCCTATAGGCTCATAGAAAACAACACTATTAGGAGGTGTGGCCTTGTTGCAGTAGGTGCGGTCTTGTTAAAAGAAGTGTGTCACTGGGGCAGGCTTTGAGGTCTAAGGTGCTCAAGCTAGGCGCAGTATTTCATTCTCTTCTTGTTGCCTGCCAATCTGGATGTAGAACTCTTAGATAACTCTTCAGTACCATGTCTGCCTGCATCCTGCCATACTTCCTGCCATGATGACAATGGAATAAATCTCTGAACTGTAAGGAAGCACAAATTAAATGTTTTCCTTTATAAGAGTTGCTGTGGTCATCATGTCTCTTCACAGCAAGAGAAACCCTAAGACATAATAAAGGATTATTTAAAAAGTACAAAAGAGAATTTGAAAATAATACTTGAATATATACATTCTCTGGGATAATAGTTGAAGAAAAAAAAAACATGTCTTCAAATTTATACAATGTCCATAAGGAACAGTACCACCCCACTCTCAAATGACAAATTGTTAAACTTAGGGCAGCAAATACAAAGAATTAGGAAGTGGCCACTGAGAGTCTTATAATTCATTTAGCTGTAAACTGATTTTATGTTTTTAGTAATTTATAATCCATATCTATATATAGTCTAATAATACTGGTTTTAAGTCTTGGTAGGAGGGAAATGTCTTCTATATGAAGGTACAGACATACACATAAATATTCTGCTGTTGTACTAAAGTGAACTATTGTCTACAAACTGGATATTCCAGGCAATGAGCGCAATTGACTGAGCCAGGTGACCTCAGGTCTCACCTCAGTGTCTACTATAACAGGTGAGAGCTTGAAAAGCTCTGTATCAGCTTCATCTGAAAAATGGAAATACTACCTGAGTTACTTACTTGATAGTTTTCTTGGAGGAACCCTTTGTCTTCCTTACTTAAATCCGAGGGCAATCAGAATCAGCCTCTGCCCCAATCTCTCATAACCCAGCTAAATCACAAGCTGGGTCAACCCAAGTCTCTACCTAATCTGTACCTATGCCCATACAGCTTAATTTGCAGGAATATATCACTGTGCTGAGTGTCTCACTAGATGATACAAAGAAACCATACTGAACTATTGATTTCACCATCATGCCCCCTACAACCTTATTCTCAGTTGCTGTCCTGATTTACCATTTTGTAGATAAATCAAGAGTAATCTAGCATCAGCCTCCTCAAGACCCCACAGCCCTATGTCCATATGTCCATGACCATATGCTCATTTCTCTTCTGTAACCGTATGAACTGTCAGTGCTCCTACCTATTTACCTGGACATTGTGTCTTTGGATGGTGGTACTGCTCTAGCCATTCTTGCCACTCTGCTGCTCTGCTGAATCATTCCTATCAACATTCTTCTAACAGCTTAGCATTTATTTCATCTTAAAAAACCAGTCCTCAGACAGTCATGGTGGTGCTCACCTTTAATCCCAGCACTCGGGAAGTAGAGGCAGGCAGATATCTGAGTTCCAGGCTAGCCTGGTCTGCAGGGTGAGTTCCAGGATAACCAGGGTTATACAGAGAAACCCTGTCTCAAAAACAAAACAAAACAGACAGACAAACAAACAAAAAAACATTCTTTCTCTTGTACCTAACTGTCAACTATAACCCATTTCGTCTTTTCTTTAGAAATCCTTAAAAAGAAGCTGGGCACAGTGGTGCACACCTGTAATCCCAGCACTCTGTGAGCCAGAGGCAGGCAGATCTCGGAGAGTTTGAGGTGAGTTGGTCTACAAAGTGAGTCCAGGACAGCCAAGGCTACACAGAGAAACCCTGTCTCAAGAAACAAAACAAAACAAAACAAACAAACAAAAAATAAATCCTTAAAAAGAGCTATCTGGGGGACCAGAGAGATGCTCAGAAGTTAAGAACACTGGCTGTTCTTCCAAAGGTCCTGAGTTCAATTCCCAGCAACCACATGGTGGCTCATAATCATCTATAGTGACATCTTGTGCCCTCTTCTGGTGCTCAGGCACACATGCAAGCAGAATGCCGTATAATAAACAAACAAATGAACAAATAAATAAATAATTATTTTTAAAAGTTTTTAAAAAAATTAAAAAAAAAAAAAGCTATCTATACAATCTGTAACCCAGTTCCCATATCTTGTTTTCTCTGGTACGCACTATACTCATGCCTTTGTCCCCTACCACACATGTGAAGTGATCTGATCAGTGCCACCAATGACCTTCACAGTGTTAGACCCAAATGTCAATTAAAGCTTCAGTCATCTTCCTTCACTCAAAGCAGCCTTTAATACAACTGTTTTTTTTTTCTTTTCTTCCCTTTATTCAAGACACCAGATTTAAATGTTCTTCCTATTCTTTGTCATTGGAAGCCTTCCTTCCTTGTCCTCATTTTCCTAACCCTTCAATACTACAGTGCTCGATCTTCTAATTGCTTCTCTATCTACACTCATACTTGCACTGATCTCATTTAGTTTCACTGATTAAAATATCACATATGTCCATGAATAGTCCTTGGTTGGAGTATGAGTCTCTGGGAAGTTCCCTGTGTTCAAATTATCTTGTTCTGTTGTGCTCCTTGTGGAGTTCCTGTCCTCTCCAGCTCGTACTATTTCCCACTTCTTACATAAGATTCCATGCACTCTGCCCAACAGTTGGCCATCAGGCTCAGCATCTGCGTTGATAGTCTGCAGGGCAGAGGCTTTCAGAGGCCCTCTGTGGTAGGTTCCTAGTTTGTTTCCTGTTTGCTTCTTCTGGCTTTCAGAGGCCCTCTGTAGATAACCTAGAACCCCTTCACAGATGTAGCCCATGGCAGTTCAGTGTCCAAGTGGGTTATCTAGTAATGGGAAGAGGGACTGCCTCTGACATAATCTGATTGGCCTGCTCTTTGATCACCTCCCCCTGAGGGGGGAGCAGCCTTACCAGGCCACAGTAGAGGACAATGCAGCCACTTTTGATGAGAACTGATAGACTAAGATCAGAAAGGAGAGGAGAACCTCCCCTATCAGTGGACTTGGGGAGGGTCATGCATGCAGAAAGGGGAGGGAGGGTGGGATCGGGAGGGGCTTATGGGGGGATACAAAATGAATAAAGTATAATTAATAAAAACATTTTAAAAAGGTTAAAAAAAGTGCAAAAAATATTACATATGACCATGATTCCCTTAAATTTCAAATTAGATGTACAGGCCAATTAAATACCAAAGCATAGCCACTGATCATTCTGCAAGCGTAATTCATCCTGCCTTGCCTCTTTTTGTATATCACCTGTTCCTTTAATTCACTTTCTGAATTCACTTTCTACTAAGCCTTCTAGCACACTGCTATAGTCCTACATGTTTATTACTGTCTCTGGGATATACCATACTGTGACTCAGGGTATTTTGCAGTTCTACTTTCTACCTATACATGTACATTACTTCTTTCTTTATTTTCCTTCTTTAATAAGTAACATCTTCCCAGTTAGACCTTCTCTAGCCACCTATTTAAAAACTACTCTTACAGGACTCCCTTCCTTACTTCATTTTTTTTTAAGATGTTTTATTATTTATACATCATTCTGCCTGCAGGCCAGAGAGGGCACCAGATTGACTCATAGATAGTTACAAGTTGCTATGTGGTTACTGGGAATTGAACTCAGGACCTTTCAAAAGAACAGCCAGGGTTCTTAACCTCTGAGCCACCTCTCCAAGCCCCTTACTTCATTTTTTTCTTCTTACCTCCTTTCACTAATATACTATTGGGTCATATTTTTCATGTTTATTGTCTATGTCTCCATTATGATAGAAGCTTCACGGTGAGGGGTTTTGCTGCTAAAACCTTACCAAGAAGAACAGTAACTCTATGTGTCAGCTGTTCAATAAATGTACTGAATAAGAACATATGTGGAACTGGCCAGAATTAGACACTGTATATACAAACAAAATGATCTGAATATATTTAACTTTAGCTATACTTTTAAAATATTGTGTCAAAATTCTAGGAAACATGATGCTCTTAAAATCCTTAGTAATTAAAATGAACTTGAAACAGTTATTGGATGTTTAATGGAAAACATAAAACTGAAACTCCCCACTGCAAAAGTTAAAGATTAGTGTGAAAAGAACAGAAAAATTCCACAGTTTGCACTTTGTGATTTCTTTTTTTTTTTTTTTTTTTTTTTTACTGATGCACCTTATAAAACTATGCTGTCCTTTCCTGTATAAAAAGTATACTGCACTTCTATGTTATTAGGGTGCAAATTGAGTTGTGTTTCCTTGAAGTCAGGTGATAAAAGAACTTCTGCTTCAGGATAGCATCCACTTATAGGACAATTAATTGTGCCTTCAAAGCTTTGTTATTCCAGGTAGGAATCACCTTCATAAATAATTATTGAGCATTTACTGTTGGAACGACTTAGAGATATATTTTCATTTAATTAGTCAGAGAAGCCCTTTAAGGTGATCTCTTTATTTATAGATATAAGAAACTCAGAGACAGTACAGTTTGCCAAAGCACAGCTGAGTAGAATTTAGACTGTAGCATGCAAATGTGTATACTCTATCTCTACCATCTGCCATACTGGAACTCATAGGAAGTAAAAGTAACAAACCTTATACAGGAAGAAATAATAGCAACAATTTTGAGCACTGATTTGTCCTTCTTCCAAAGGCACTGTATGAGACAGAACAAAAAGGCCTTTAGCTATCTAGCAAATTCTAGAAAGTTTAGTGAAGAATCAGATACACTTTTATTTACTTTGTTCTGATGTCAAATTTAGTAAGTATTTCATTCCAGTTACTTCAAACACCCTGAGACAGGTTAAACACAAAAAGCATTAGAAATGCATACAGCTCTAGGACCCAAAGTAAACGCTACACATGGAGTAAAGTCTGAATTGGAAAGAAGAAATTTCTCCACCAGAAGCATGTGACAGAATACATTTAAGATGATTAATACCAAGATACTTTTAACAAAAGTTTTAGAAAATGAACAAAACAAAGCAAGGATCAATGCATTTGCCACCAAAGTAACAAACTAGCTTTTATAATAAAGCAGTGGTTCTCAACCTATGGGTCAAAACCCCTTTGGGGATCAAATGGCCCTTTCACAGTGGTTGCCTAAAACCAGCAGAAAACACAAATATTTACATTATGCTTTATAACAGTAGCAAAATTATAGTTATTAAGTAACAATGAAAATAACTGTATGGTTGGCGGTTACACCATGAAGAACTATATTAAAGGTCTGCAGCATTAGCAAAGTAGAGAACCACTGCACTAAGGATTTACAAAAATATTAAATAAGTTGAAAATCAACAGTCAACTATACAAATATCATTTTACTCTCATTGCCAAGTCATGTATTATTTACAAGTAAATTAAATATCAACTAAAGAAAGTTTGCCCATAGTTGCATCTACGAAACACTAAATCATAAAATTTCAACAGATTAAACAGATAAGAATACCTGCTATATTTTAAAAGATCATATTTCTAAATAGAATGTTGCATCACCAAGATTTTATAAAAGGATGGAGAACTTTATAAAAAAAAGTATTTCACACACTTTTACAGACATTCTGATTTTGAACCATGGGAGAACTCACATACTATGAAGACCTGTGAAGACCTACATTTGGCAAATAACATGAGACTTTACGAAGATGCATTATAATCTAATTTGTTTCACAGCTTAACATTAAAACTTACAAAACACTAATATTTTAACACAATAAATGAACCGAGATTAGCTAACAATATCTCTTGCTATCAGATAATCTGCAACACTAATCATCCTATGAATGAATACACACACACACACACACACACACACACACAAACATACACACACATTTCAGACTCCCCTGTTCAGGCTCACCAAACTAAAATTGTTATACTGCAAACAATCATTTTAACCAATACAAAATAATTTGTGTAATCAGATTTGAAACTCAGTTGTTAAAACTAAAAACAGGACAAAATAAAAATCTTAGAGAGTGTGTATACACCTATAACTAGTTACTGTTTTGCTTTAAAGTATCTCATAATTACAAATGATCTTTGAGTACATCTCTCCCAAGATTAGCCAAACCTGTTTACTTCATCACCTGGAGAAGCATTAACTCCTGAAGTCGCCATTCTGCCACTCTCTTCCCAGCTTTTCCCAGGAAAGAAAGCACACCAGCAGCCATGGTGAAGATGCTTGCTTTTGCTCTAGCTCCCTCCCCACATAATGCCTTAAGAAGATCCCCAGCATGCATCACATCTAGGCCATAGGTTAGTGTAATTGGGATCCCATCTCTGTATGTTGAAATGTGGAGATCTAGGAGCCAATGTTACTGCCTACACACTTCACATCGATACTGTGTAGGATTATGTCTAGTACTCATTTTAAGTGGTAAGAAACAACTGATTTTTAAATATTTTAAATATGTGTATTTCTTCAGTTGATAATTGACTATATGTAATTTAATCCAAAGTTAAGGAACTCAGAGGAGAAATATATTATATATTAGAAGGTGGCACCTACCGGTAAAACATGATATTACAGCCCAAGTTCATTAAACACAAAATCATCTCAGGAGTTAAGTATTTGGAAAGACTTAGAAATGGTTTAAGGCTGCAAAAGGGAAGCAGGTAGCACAAAAATAATGTCAGAACTCTACAATGGCAGCTAAGAAATAACGTATACAGGTTTCTGTAAACAAAGCCTTGCTGAAAAAAAAAAAAAAAGACCTATTGCATGACTGTGTAGACATTCATTCTGTCCATAAAGCCTTCAGTTCTGTTTTCTCTGTTGGAACACATTAGTTTTAATTTTAACATATGTTAACCTCAGTAACGCAGTTCCAACTTTTAAGTTGTTATAGTAACGGTTTTTATTAAGTAAGAAAAAAACACAATTTGTCTGTAATCTGTGCATCGATTTCCTATTACCTTACATATTAATCATAATGAAGTATTACAACTGATGGATAGGGGCTGGAGAGATGGCTCAGTGGTTAAGAGCACTGCCTGATCTTCCAATGGACCTGGGTTCAATTGCCAGCACCCACATTGCAGCTCACAACTGTCTGTAATGGCAGTTCCAAGGGATCTGACACCTTCACACTAATGCACATAAAATAAAATAAAATAAAATAAAATAAAATAAAATAAAATAAAATAAAATAAAATAAAATAAATTATTTAATAAACAACTGATGGATGGTTGTCAACTATGAATCTATGCTCAAAAACCAACCAACCAAACAAACAAACAAAAAACTGTAACCAGTAGAATTTCCCACAGGAATGCTTTTGCGTTACAGGTAGAATTGTGCAACTAGGTATTAAAACACACATACACACACTCAGAAAATAAAATCACTGCTTGCCCTCCCTATTTGATAGAAGTGGAGGCAGTTTAATCAGCTGGTTGTTAGCCAACGTTGTTTCCCAGTACTTCACACTGCTAAAATCATCTTAAACCATTTCTTATAAAGAGGCCAAATAAATCTCTTCAGTTCAGCTGCCTAACCAACCTGATGCATATTTGTATCATGTTGGCTGTTTTGTTTTGGGTTTTGGTTTTTAAGAACTCACATTGATCTTCAATGTCACATATATCTTATGAGTAAGACAAAAGAAAAAAAGAATTCGCTGGGCTATGGTGACACATGCCTTTAATCCCAGAATTCGGGAGACAGAGGTAAGTGAATCTCTGAGTTTGAGGCCAGCCTGATCTACAGTGTGAGTTCCAGGACTGGCAGGATTACCCAGAGAAACTGTATCTCGAAAAAAGGAAGGAAGGAAGGAAGGAAGGAAGGAAGGAAGGAAGGAAGGAAG